AATGACATTTTTTTTCGATTTTGAGGAAATTATTTGTGTGGTGGTGGGTGAATGAGACGCATCAAAACCCAAGCCTTGATGAAGTTGGCAAAGAAAGACCCAGGTCAAACGGTCAAACAATGAAGGTTATTTTCGTAATTACAAATTTTTTTAAAAAAATTTATTAAGACAGCGACAAATAAACCGTCCTGATTGATTTATGGGGCGGACGGTGTGGATGGCATTAAGGTAAATAAGAGGAGAATCTAGGGGTAAAATAGTAAAAGCATTAAGATAAAAGAAGTAAAAGTGAACCTTACGCTAAAAAGGTAATCGTAAATGACGTGGTAACGTGTTGCCTTCCACTCGAGAGATTACATTTTTTTTATTTGTCGTTACTTTCTCCTCCTCCCTGTGTGTATTAATATTTTAGTGGCCCTTCCGTTATCAGCAAAATTTTTATATAATTAAATAATTACAGTTCCACAATTAACAATAACCATATTAGTTATTGAATTTTATATATTATTAACTTCAAAATAGGTACGTGTTGTATGTGTGCGTGTGAGTGTGACCCACGAGTTCATAGTTTGCTTTTAATCCACGATCTTACACACCTCAATCAGTAAATTGACATATAATCTAATATAAAATATTATGCTAAAGCTACGGCATATTCTTATTTGCAAGTTCATGAATGAGAACGATAGTTTTGTTTAACTCAAGATAATATATAAATTACAAATTAGTCACATCTTATGTCTATCATCACCATTACCACTTTTATAATTATTATTTATTTATTTTGGTTGTTTAATAATAAGTTTTTTGTGGGAATCAAATGTACAAAACAAAAAATATTTAGAAATTAAGAAAAAAATGGGAATCTTTGTTTGATGTTTTGTCGAATGTAAAAGTGATTGTGCCTTGCTGCCCACATCTCCTTATCTTCTTCTATTTCCTTTTAAGATTTTTGTTGCTTTTATCTTCCTCTATCCCCTTTTTAAAGTTCCATTTTGGTAAAGAAGTAGATTAATTTTTTAATCATAAAACTTTTTTATTTGTCTTTCAAATATAATTTAAATAAAATTCTTTATTACAATTTTTAAAAATTAATTAATTATTACGTAAGATAAAATTTTATCTTTTTATAAAGAAAAGGTTATTATTAGTTGATGGCAATAGAGAGATTTGGAAAAGCCAAAAAGAGTATTATAATTTCATGTTAATTTAACTTTAAGTTCAAGTTAAAGTGACGTGTCACAAAGTAAAATCCTCTACAATGATTGGTTTTAGTAATTGGGTTTGGGATGTGGGGTTATGATTTGGCATGGAGTTGATCGTATATGAATCGTTCCATGTCACAACACTCTTAATCTTCTTTGGGTGTTCATCCAATAATTGTTATCGCTTTAAAGTTAAGTATAATTGATGAAGTGAGTCCCCATGTGTATCTAAAATTTGAGGTGTACTTTGATTTTGTTGATTAGGGGGGAGAAAGTTACTAATTACTTACTATCAAACAAATTTACATCCTACTTTTTTTTTTTTTTTTTTTAAATTTATTTAGTATTTAATATATTATAATTATTTTAATTAAAAATATTAATTAAATATATATATAATAGAATTATTAAAATTTATTTAAACTTAATAATTACAGTCATATTAATAAAAAAAAATTAATTAAATATTATAAATTAATTAGTGTGAACGAATAATATATGTAAAATATAGATAATTTTATTAAGTTTAAATGAATCTTAAAGTGACAAATTTTAAAATTATAATCTTCAATTAGAATAAAAATATATCTTACAAATCACATCCTACTTATTATTTATGTTTTTCATGTTCAAATAATATGTGCGCGCGTGTGTGTGTATATATATATATATATACATGTAATCTATATGTATGCTCGATTTCATGCAAAATGGGTTGGTGGGTATCCTCTTTTATGGAGATCAAATCAGATAAAGATTTCGAAAAAAAATATAAAAAAAAAAAAAAAAAAAAAAAAAGTATGGATCATGTTGCCGAAGATGTTCAGTGTGCGTTTAGAGCATTTTATAATTATAGCTTTTTGTTATTTTATTATTAAGTTAATGCGTGCATCGGTCAAATATTTAATTTGTGATTTGTTGAAAATTAAATGAGTCTCTACAATTATTTAATTAATTTTATACCGAGAAACATAATTAAGAGTTCACCTATATATTTTTAATTTCCTATTCAAATCTCTTTTGACTAACACTATATTATAGGAAATTTTTTTAGAATGCATTTTAAGTTCGCACACAATAGCAAATTTTTTAAAAATACAATTCATATAATATAGAATTTTACGTAAGATTTCTGTGGAAACCAAAGAAGATGTTCGTGCAGACATAATGAATAGAATAGAAAAGAGGAAGCAAAATCTGAGATGAATGTCAGAACACAAAACAAAATGAAGATGAAGATGAAGATGAACCCACACACACACATTTACCATTTTACGAGAACAAACAAGAAAGTTGTGAAGAAGACTCAGCTGTCTCCAAATTCCAAAACCCAAAAACTATAAACACATTTGACCTACGTTCTAATGTTCCCGCATTAGATTATTAATTAATGCCCGCATGCCATCGCCTACTTATACCCTTTTTATCAATCTTTAAAACAATTCAGAAAATTTGATATGAAAATATTTCAATCGTTAACATTAAAAATGAAAAAGAAGAAAAGGGTGGTTTGTAGGGTAAGAATGTTGGGGTTGGGGCAAGAAGAAGACAACGCGGAGGTATGATGAAAGCTTGACTTTTGTATGCAAACTTCACTGTGCTCACACCGACCATGTTTGGGGATTTGGGGGGAAACTTTTCTAAAAATTTTCCACTTGCTCCATCTGAATGTTTTGTCTTCATCTGAAATCCATTTTGGTCCAGATTAGTCTTTTCATTTTGCGTCTCATCTCATCTGGTTCTTTTCTCACGCTTCCCTCCTCCATTCTATTAATAATTAGCCGCGTGGTAGATGCTACATCTTCTCATGGTTGGGCTGGGTTCCAGCGGAACTCCTAGTGTTTGTGTGTGTGTGTATATATATATATATATATACACTTAAAGAAGAAGATCCATGTGGACGTGGATTGGTGTACGGAAGATCTTCCCCCATCTCCTTGAATCACGTTTGGAAATAGGCGTCTCTTCGGTCTAAGACCAAACCAGATCAGGATCAAAATATTCCTAATTCTCCCACCCAAGACCACACACTGTAGGAGGTTTGAGTTGGTACCGTCTAGTTTTTGGTCTAGTCTGTACCAAATTTTTTTAGTCCAATTTCTTTCAAATCAAGTGGACCCATTTTTTATTATTATTATTTTTTATTATAAAATAAGACATCGACTAAAATTAGAAACAATATATATATATTTCTCTATTTGTGTTTTTTCCTAACATAATAATAATTTGGTATCTGTCCTACTTTACTCTATATTTCATGTAATATTTACAAAAAAACTTAACATAAAAATTTATCAATTTTAAGAAATTCAATATCATGAATTATGCGATAATAAATCTTTTCTTTTTTATTTTTAACTAAGATTTTAATGTTTAATTTTTATAATTTTTACACTAATTAAACATTTTCGACGACGTGCTTTATTCACTTGTAACGAGAATGAATAACTTAAAATTTATACACAAAGTTCCCCAATATCCCACACAAATTTCTTTTCTATTGATTTGTAATCTAGCTGCTTTTCTCAAATTACAGGCTACTTTGACGCACTAGTTAAGATTTTTAAAATTCTAATAAGAGATACGCCTTTTGCATAACAAAAGTTTCTAATGAATTATGTAAAAATTAGAATTTTAAGTTAGTTGTTTATAAATTTATATTTATTTTAATTATCAAAAATAAAAACTTCATTAAAAATAATAAAAATTAAAATTTTATGAAAATTTCATATGAAATTAAGACAATATATTGTTTAAATTTGTCACCATAGATTTTTTGGATTAGTTGAATTAAATTAAATTTGATTCTCCATAAATCATGAACCGATTAATACACAGTCCCGAGCCCATGTCGAAAGGCCCATAGCTCTGATTGCTCAGTTTGACAACAACAAAACGACGACCATTCGCACGCTACGACCAAAACTTGAAGCTCGTCCAGTCATCCCCCGACGCCGAGAAGGACTGAACTGAAGACGGCGAAAGTCAATGGACCCTCACATCTGGCACAAGGTCGCTGCGATCTCTGGTATTACCATCTCTCTTTCTTGTTCAATAGATCCTTATTAACCTTTCTTTCTTTGGCATGTTTGGGTGTATGTAAGTTTTTGTACAACAAAAAATGGTGATTGGTTATCTGAGAATCGCTGGCTGTAAAATTTGTATTCTCGAAACAGGAATAGCTGGTCTTGGATTGGGTACATACGGTTTCCATGTCTTCAAGCCCCAAAACCCAATTTACAAAGAGGTCACTTCCTATTTCTACTTCACGAGAATTTACCCCTCGTCTTTCTATCTTTCTTTGCTGACTTCAATTTTGTTGCTTTTGTTTTCTTGCTTGCAAATAATGGAATCAAGGTGTGGCAAATAGCGTCTCTGTACCAATTAGTGCACACTGCAGCTCTAGTTGCTGCCCCCGTTACCAAACGCCCCAACATTGTGAGTTTTTCTTTTTATTTTCCACTTCTATCCTTTTAACTTTGTCAGTTTTCTCTTTTTGATCACTTTGGTATGTCCAGTTATCCAAACGACGTCTTAATTATCTCATTACTCCTTACTACCCGATTTAGTTGGTTATATGCTTAAATGGGTATGTTTCTCTCTGTGTAGTTTGGAGGTCTATTGACTTCTGGGATTATAGCCTTCTCTGGGTCGTAAGTGTCTTTCCCTCTCACATTTGCATACTGAATATACTTTGTATACATGAATACTTCCTTTAGTTAGTGGGTTTTTATTTGGCTTTTGATGTTTGTCATTGGTAATTTGCATTATGCTAAAAAGATTTAGTACTTCTTACTACTTCTAAGGCTTTGTCTGAAACAAATGAACAATGGAATTTCATTCTATTAATCATTTATAAATGAATTGAACAAGGAATTTGTTTGCAAATGAATTTGTAATAAATCACGATATTTTAAAGCATTTTGTGAAATTCAATTGAATCACTTCTTTTGAAATACAATGCACAAAACACTTGCAATAAGCCTCTTTCCTCCACACTCTCAATTTCATTTTAGAACCCACTTGCTCCATTCCATATGGAATTCATCTCAAAATGGCTTTCATAGTTTAGAGCAACTCTAAGCATAGAAATTAAATGAACTGCAGATTTTTTTTGATGAAATTATTTTGTTCCAATGTGTAAAAGTACCTGTCCTATTTCCTGTTTCAAACAATCTTTTCAGGTTTTAAGACCAAATTACAGTTCCACTAATTTAACCTCGTTATAGTCAAATTTCATGATTTTTTTTTTCTGTGACAATTTACTGCACAGGACTTGTTATTATGATGCTATTTTTAATAAACTACAGGTTTTGAACTGCAATTAGATCAAACCGCATGGTGAAACTGTACTTTATTATCTTTTTTAACGATGCCATCTTCTAGATTTGTTCGTTTTGGGTTTGTTATGCTGGAGAGGACAATTCAGTCCGGGAAATTGTTGGATTCTGCAGGTGCTATGTTGCAGCATTACTTGAAGACAGAAAGTATTCAACCTTAGCTCCACTGGGAGGCTTTGCATTTGTGGCTGCATGGGGAAGTTTGCTTTTCTGAGGATTTGAAGGTGGTTAATGGCACCTCTTGCACTGTAATTTGTGTATTCTTCTGAACTTGTACATTCACACGAGAAATTTATGGTCTTGAATGTAACACCCAATAATTTTCTTTATTTTTATTTTAATTTATTTTATTCTAATTTAATAAAAAAAGTGGTAAAGATTTGTTAAGAATTAAATTAAAAATAATTTTAGAAAAAATGGGTGAAAATTTAAGTTTTGGGGATATTTTTGAAAGAAAAATCGGAAATCAGAAGGTCGAAATGTAATTTAGAAAAATTGTGCCACGTCAGATGCCCGATCAGCAGCTCTCACCAACCAGGATGTGCCAGGTAGCAGAGGCGCTAACGCGGGCGATCCGCGTGCACGTGATCGAATGGCTGAGGTCTGTTCCCATGAGCATGGATGGCCCAGATTGAATCGCGTACGGATAGCTCAGATTGAATTACGATGAACGGTCCAAATTCACTTTCTATTTAATCGCGATCGGACAGTACAGATCAAAAGCGATGGACGGCTCAAATCAAAAGCGGATGGGTATAAATAATCTCATCCACACCCAAACCCTAACCCTAGTCGCTAGAATCCCTCACCGAAGAAGATAGCCCAGCCATCGGGAAGCCGACCGTCGTCATCGACCGCCGCACCGGAGCAATTTTCGATCGCCAAACGAGGTAAAAATTTCACCCTTTGCTCAGAATTCAATTTTAAAAACACCCATGACCAAATCGAAGGAAAAGGACAGACCAATTGCTCGAAAAACGTTGGTAAGTCCGGCGGTACCGCCGCGGGATATTTTGAAAAGCGCCTCCAATGAGACTCTTCTCGATTCTCATTCGATGTGATTTTTTCACCGTTGTGATCACCGTTTCCTTCTCTACAAGTTGATCGGAGCAAAACACCCAACCGCAACGTGAGTCGGAGGAGCTGCCGCACCAGAGAGCTCTGCCGCCGGTGAGTTTCGATTTTCTACGTTTTTTGGGCTAACCGATGGTCTTAAGTGTGTTTTCTCGCAAGAACTGATGCAAATTTGGATGAATTCGGCCGAAAACAGCCAATCCGAGGCGGACCGCCGCCGCTTGCACGACGGAGCTGCCGTGCCAGATTTCTGAAATTGGCCGAGTAGGCCCTGAGACTGATTTTTTGGGTTATTTGAGATTTTTGTAGGTACTGTGAGCGTATTTCAGTTCCCAAAGAAAAATTTAGGGAACCTAGGGACCGTCCGTAGGCGCAGTAAACCATTTAGCTTTTCAGCGTCAAATCAAGTAATGATCCCTCACCTTATTTTCTATCATAGAATTGAAGTTTGAATAAATAATAATACGGTATTTTATATAAATTAAATAAATGTGCATAATTAATTACGGATTGCTAATGGAGCCTGAACTGGACATTGTTATTCGTTGATTTCTGTTGATTTATTTTACAGTTTAAAAACATGACAGTATCTGGTTTATCTGCTCTATGGTTTAAATGCATGTATTACTGTTTTACTTGATCACTGTTTGATTTTAGGATTTAAGATATGATTGTATTAACGGATGCATGTTCATTTATTTATGTGATTCAGGAAAGGGGTGTGATCAAATAAAACAAATAAGACGACAGCCTTACTAGATATCCTGGGAGATGGTGGACGGACCGAGTTCATATGGAACCCTATCGTGAATTTTGTCTTATATTGGACGGGGTATGGAGACTTGGTCATTTGACGCTCATACTGGACAAGGTATGGGGACGGCCCGCTTCATCCTCATACCGGATGTGGTATTGAGGTTTAATGTCTTGGCACTCATACCGGACCGAGTATGGGGACGGCTCTGTAATTAAGATTGTTAAGGTAAATAGTTCAGGTATAGCGGAGACACCCCTATGGATCCCCATGGATACTAGTGGGCTGGTAAAACGAGAAACGGTTATGATTTAGTTATTGTTAATGAATATGAATTTATGATATGTTCGATGTTATTGATTGTGTATGAAGTTATGATCTGTATGATATTATTGTCTTAGGTTGTTCTCATAAATTCTACAATGGTAAGTGAACTATAAATGATTTTACGATTGATAAACGAATTTGCTAAATTTAGTGCTCAATTAGTTGTTTTGATTTTCTACCAACCTTTACTTCTGTGCCGGTGATATAGTGTGATATCCTTACTGGGCTAGTGTAGCTCACCCCTTATTTAACCATTTCAGATCAAGAAAGTCTAGTTCCCGAGCCCGATCCGCAAGAAGATTGCGAGTACATGCTAGATACTTTATATTTTCATTTACTTTTTTTATTTTTCGTGTTTTTTTTCAGAGAATTCATTCCGTGATATTTGTTTAGTACTTTTAAGTTATTGTGCAAGGGATGTAAACCTTAACCTTTTATTTTGCTTTTGCACTTAAATTATTATATATTTCCTTTTGGATTTTCGAGATCGTTATAGTTGGTATCAGAGCCGCGTTCCTTGGACTCGTCCCTTACACAATAATATTTAGAGAAACACCAAACCAAAAAATTATCACTCAACCCTTATTTGTGAAATACAGGCACAGAGATATGAGGAGAGGAAGACCCTCATTAAACCAAGTAGCCCGAGATGATTCGCTTAGGGAAGATGTTGATAGGATATTTGAGATGCTGAAGAGACTCATTACTGCCCAGCAGGGCTGAGAGGAGAGGAGGGAGCTACCTGACCCTCCCCCGCTGCCACAGGTTGAGCCACCACTGCAGCGAGAGGATCCCGAGCCACCCCAGTATGACCCTACTCCTTCACAGTACCATCCGGCACCACCGTAGTATGATCCGGTGCTCCAGCCACAGTACCGCCCAGCACCGCCACAGTACAATCCGGTGTCCCCCACCGTATCAGCAAGTACCATCACAGGGCCCCCCAGTCTATCCCCAGCCTGACCCAGTCCCTCTTCCATGGGACCTAGTTCCTCCCACGATTGACCTGGGCTACATAAAGAGGTACAAGAGACTAAACTCATCCATTTTATTAGGGAGATACTCTTTTAAAGATGCTGAGTACTGGTTGGCAGAGACAGAGAAGACCTTCAAGACCTTAGGGGTGACTTCTGAGCAGAAGGTCACCCTTGCTACCTACATGCTAGCGGGAGAAACAGATCGTTGGTGGGAGCTCAAACAGACCACCCTGTCTGTTCCAGTTACTTAGGAACAGTTCCTAGTAGCCTTTCATGCAGAGTACCTCCCAAAGCATCTCCGATATTTGAAGGAGATAGAGTTTGTCCAGTTGGTCCAGGGGAATATGACTGTGTCAGAATATGCTCGTAAATTCCTAGAGTTGGGCCGATACTCCCCTAAGACGCTGTTGGATGAGGGCAGGAAGGCTAGGAGATTCTAGTGGGGCCTCCGCCTAGAGATCAGGCAGCATTTGTTCGTGCTGGAGCTCAAGACCTATTCGGTCGTTCTGGCTAAGGCACAACTGGTGGAGAGGAGCTTCCACACCCTCCCTCAAGCAGCAGGGAACCTCATATCCTCAGCTCTATCCCGCAGACCAGCACCTACTGTGTTTGTCCAACAGAACAAGAGGCCTAGGCTGGTGATCCAGGCTCCCCCTCAGGCTATAGTGGTAGGACGTGGTAAGATCTGTCAGCATTGCGGCAGGGATCACGGGGACCGACCCTACTACCGCCTTAACAACACCTGTTGCATATGTGATAGTTCCCAACATTATGCGAGAGAGTGCCCAAGGAACCAGAATCAGGGCAGACCTCCTATCTAGGGCAAAGTTTATAATCTCACCCAGTAGGATGCTGAAGCCAACTCGGACGTGGTACAGAGTATGTACACTATCTGTAACTATCTTGCTCATGTTTTGATTGACATTGGTGCATCGCATTCATTTATTTCACATATTTTTGCATTAAATTTTAATGTACTACCTGATAAACTTGATTTTATGTTGTTTGTGTCTATTGCTGGGAGTATGACACTATTGGAAGAAGTTATCTACAGGGCTTGTGTCGTAGAGATAGCAGATAGAAAATTGAGTGTGGACATAATAGAATTAGACACGAGGAATTTTGATGTAATTTTAGGAATGAATTGGCTAGTGGCGTATCACGCCACCGTAGATTGTTTTAGTAAGAAGGTTGTATTCAATCCTCCTAATGAGGAGTCATTTACGAATTAATAAAATCATTTACTACTTATTTCTTGATAACAAGTTTTCTTATTTGTCGAATACTTTAACCCTACTGTTTTCTCTAACTAGGCAAACTCAAGAAAGAGAATTATATTCAAAAGATTCCAGTAGTCCGAGACTTTCCAGATGTGTTTCCGGATGAACTAACCAGACTGCCAGTGGACAGAGAAGTCGAATTCACCATAGGCCTACAGTCAGACACCCAGCTTATTTCGGTTGCTGCATACCACATAAGCCGCGTTGAGATGGAGTAACTGAGGAAACAAATCACTGAATTGCAGGACAGTAGTTTTATCAGATATAGTGTGTCCTATTGGGGTGCCGGAGTCACTTTTGACAGAAAATGAGATGGAATGTTGACGCTATGTATTGATTACAGAGGATTGAACAGAGTCACAATAAAAAATAAGTATCCCTTTCCCAGGATTGATGACCTCTTCGATCAGTTGTAGGGTGCGCAGGTCTTCTCCAAAATAGACCTGCGTTCAGGTTACCATCAAGTAAAAATTAGGACAGAAGACATCCCTAAAACAACTTTTCGAAGCAGGTACGGACACTATGAGTTCCTAGTCATGCCATTTGGGCTAATCCTGTGCCCCAGCCATCTTCATGAATATGATGAACATGGTCTTTAGACAATTCTTAGATCAATTTGTTATCATGTTTATCGATGACATCCTGGTTTATTCAAAAAGTAGAGAGGAACATGCTCACCATCTAGCTCAAGTTTTGCAGGTTCTCAAAAGAAAGAAGTTATATGCAAAGTTGAGTAAGTGTAGATTTTGGTTTGAGCAGACCACCTTTCTGGGACACATCATATCAAATGATGGAGTATCAGTGAACCCTGAAAAGGTTGAAGCAGTACTCGGCTGGGAAAAATTGATATCAATTAAAGATATTTGTAGCTTTCTAGGAATGGCGGGCTATTACCGCAAGTTTGTTGAAGGATTTTCTAATCTAGCTGCTCCCCTAACCTGGCTCACAAAGAAGAATGTCAAGTTTGAGTTGAATGAGAACTGTGAAAAAAGTTTTTCAGAACTAAAGAAGTGGCTAACTACTGCACCTGTGCTAGCCTTACCGAGTGGATTGAGAGAATATACAGTTTACAGTGATGCCTCCTACTTAGGCCTGGGTTGTGTTTTAATCCAGCGTTGGAATGTCATAGCTTATGGGTCTAGACAATTAAAAAGTCATGAGAAAAATTATCTCACTCATGACTTAGAGCTTGCCGCAATCATACATGCCTTGAAGGCTTGATGCCATTATTTATATGGAGAGACCTTTCAGATCTATACCGATCACAAGAATTTGAAACACATATTCACTCAAAATGCGTCAGAAAAAGTGGATAGAACTTCTTAAGGATTATGATTGTGACATCTTGTATCATCCGGGTAAGGGCAATATGGTAGCCGATGCACTCAGCAGAAAAAGTGCAGGTATATTAGCCTATTTGATGGTTTCAGAATGCAGGTAGATTGATGCCACACAACAGGTTCGGCTTCAGGACTTGAGGAGAGTCACATGTTTGGGTCATCTGACCGTTCAGCCTGAGTTAATCCAGAGAATAAGAAAAACTCAGTTAGTCGATCCTGCCCTAGTAGCCCTCAAGAAAGATGTAGAATAGGGAGTTAGCTCAGAATTCCGAGTCTCCACCGATGGATTGCTCCGATTTCAGGACAGGGTGTGTATTCCATATGACAGTAAGTTAAAGAGAGACATCATGACAGAGGCCCATAGCTCAAAGTTTGCCATGCATCCCGAAAATACTAAAATGTACCAAAGTATGCGATCCCGATTTTGGTGGAACGGAATGAAAAGAGATATAACTGACTTTGTTTCTAAATGTTTTGTATGTCAACAGGTTAAGACAGAGCATCAGCGCCCAGGCGGGCTACTTCAGCCATTACCGATATCAAAATAGAAGTGAGAACATATCACCATGGATTTCGTGACAAGATTACCTAAGGCATGCTCAGGACATGATGCAATCTGGGTAATTTTCGACCGGCTTACCAAGTCTTCCCACTTCTTGGCCATCAAGATGACTGATCCCTTGGACAAATTAGCAAGAATGTATATTTAGAAAATAGTCAGATTGCATGGAGTTCCAGTGACAGTGGTGTCCAACAGGGACCCCAGGTTCACTTCTCGGTTTTGAAGTAGCTTTCAGCAAGTCATGAGAAGGAAGCTGTCCCTCAGTACTGCATTCGACCCTTAGACTGATGGACAGTAAGAAAGGACAATCCATACACTTGAGAATATACTCCGAGCTTGTATCCTTGACTCCATGGGTCATTGGGACGACCATCTACCCCTGATAGAGTTCACCTATAATAATAATTACTAAACGAGTATTGGCATGGTTACGTATGAGGCGTTATATGGGCGCCCATGCAGATCGTCGATTTGTTGGGAAGAAGTGGGTGATAGAAAACTGTTCAGCCCAGAGCTGGTAGAGGAGACTACATCCAAAATAGTTAAGATTATGAAGAACATTCAGACAGCTCAGAGCAGACAAAAGAGTTATGCGGATACCCAGAGGAGAGATTTAAAATTTGAGGAAGGCGACCAGGTGTTCCTTAAGGTCACTTCTTTCAAGGGAATCAATAGGTTCGACATGAGGGGGAAACTGAACCTCCGATTTATTAGACCATTTGAAGTCTTAGAAAGAATTGATACTGCCGCCTATAGACTAGTACTGATTCGATTGAGAGTGAAAGATAAATTTGAGGAATCAAATTTCTTTTAAGGGGGGAGAGTTGTAACACCCAATAATTTTCTTTATTTTTATTTTATTTTAATGAAAAAATGGGTAAAAATTTGTTAATGATTAAATTGAAAATAATTTTGGAAAAAATGGGTGAAAATTTGGGTTCTTAGGGTATTTTTGAAAGAAAAATCAGAAATCGGACATCAAAATACAATTTAGAAAAATTACGCAACGTCAGATGTCTAGTCAGTAACTCCGACAAACCAGAACGCGCCAAGTGGCAGAGGGCGTGACGGAGAGGCCACGCGGGTGGGGGGGGAGCCACGTGGGCGATCCGCATGCACGTGAGAACGGACGAGCCACGTGAGCAATCTGCATGCACGCGATCGAACGGCTGAGGTCAGTTCTCACGTGCACGGACAGCCCAGATTGAAATCGCGTACAGACGGCCCAGATTGAAATCGCACACGGACAGCCCAAATTGAATCGCGCACGGACGACCCAGATTGAATCACACACGGATGGCTCAGGTTGAATCGTAATGAATGGTCCAGATTCACCCTTTATTTAATCGTTATCGGACGATTCAAATCAAAAGCGATGGATGGTCTAGATCAAAAGCGGATGGGTATAAATAACTTCATCTGCACCCTAACCCTAACTTTAAGCGCCATAACTCCTTGCCGGAGAAGACAGTCCAGCCGTCGAGTAGCCAACCGCCGCTGCACCGGAGCAATTTTCAACCGCCAAACGAGATAAAAAATTCATTCTTTGCTCAGAATTTAATTTTAAACACACTCATAACCAAATTAGAGCAAAAGGACAGGCCGATTGGTCGAAAAACGCTAACAAAGCCCGACGGCGCTGTCGCATGGTATTTCAAAAAATGCCTCCAATGAGACCATTTTCGATTCGCGTTCGATGTGATTTTTCCACCGTTCTAATCACTATTTTCTTCTCTATATGTTGACCAAAGAAAAACGCCCAACTGTAACATGAGCCGGAGGAGCCGCCGCACTGGAGAGCTCCGCCGCTGTGAGTTTCGATTTTTAATGTTTTTTCGACCAACCGAGGACCCTAAGTGTGTTTTCTCACAGGAACTGACATAAATTTGGCTGAATTCGGCCGAAAACAGCCAACTCGAGGCAGATTGTTGTGCTGAATTTTTGAAATCGGCTGAGTAGGCCCTGGGACTGATTTTTTAGCTTATTTGAGACATTTGTAGGTACCGTAAGCGCGTTTCAGTTCCCGAAGAAAAATTCTGGGAACTTAAGGACCGCCTGTAGGCACAGTAAACCATTTAGCTTTTCTGCGTCAAATCAAGTAAGGATCTCTCACCCTATTTGTTATCATAGAATTGAAATTTGAATAAATAATAATACAGTATTTTGTACAAATTAAATAGATGTGTATAATTAATTACGGATTGCTAATGGAGCGTGAACCGAATATTGTTCTTTGTTGATTACTATTGATTTATTTTTCAATCTAAAAGTATGATAGTATTTGATTTATCTGCTTTATGGTTTAAATGTATATATTACTGTCTTACTTAATCACTATTTGATTTTGGGATTTAAGATATGATTGAATTAGCGGATGCATGTTCATTTGTTTATGTGATTATGTTTGATTTGGTAATGGGGACTAAGGAAAACCAGGAAAGAGGTGTGATCAAATAAAACAGATAAGACGACAGTCTCACTAGATATCCTGAAAGATGGTAGACATATTGGATTTATAGGGAATCCTACCATGAATGTTATCTCATACTGGACGGGGTATGGAGACTTGGTCATTTGGCGCTCATACCGGACAAGGTATGGGGACGACCCGCTTTACCCTCATACCGGACAGGGTATTGAGGTTTAATGTCTTGGTGCTCATACCGGATGGGGTATGGGACAGCTCTGTAATTAAGATTATTAAGGTAAAGGGTTCACGTATAGCGGAGACACCCCTATGAATCCTCATGGATACTAGTGGGCTGGTGAAACGAGAAACGGTTATGATTTAGTTATTGTTAATGAATATGAATTTATGATATGTTCGATGTTACTAATTGTGCATGAAGTTATGATCTGTATGATGTTATTGTTTTTATAGGTTGTTCTCATAAATTCTACAATGGTAAGTGAACTGTAAATGATTTTACGATTGATAAACGAATTTGCTAAATTTAGTGCTCCATTAGTTATTTTGATTTTCTACCAACCTTTACTTCTGTGCTGGTGATATAGTGTGATGTCTTTACTGGGTTAGTGTAGCTCACCCCTTATTTAACAATTTCATGTCAAGAGGACTTGGTTCCCAAGTCCGATCCGCAAGAAGATTGCGAGTAGATGGTAGATACTTTATATTTTCTTTTACTTTTCTCATTTCTCGTGTTTCTTTCAGAGAATTCATTCCGTAATGTTTGTTTAGTACTTTTAAGTTATTGTGTAAAGGATGTAAACCTTAACCTTTTATTTCGCTTCTGCATTTAAATTATTATATATTTCTTTTTGGATTTCCGGGATCGTTACATTGAATCTTGCCATGATCCTTTAAAACAAATCTCAGTTAGTTATCTACGTAAAGTTGGTCAGTGTATGTTTTTCTTTTCCTGATTCAATCACCTTTATCAGTGGTGTATACGTAATGAAACTATCCCCAAAAGATACTTAGAAGCTAGATATCTAAATAATTTCATTTGCTGATTTTAATGAATATATATCATTGCTAATTGTGATGACTATCGTGTTAGTTTCTTTGCTTGTGATATTTGGAACGACAAATACTCATCCTTTTTGTTTGTGATAACTAGAGCTCAGAGTATCATGATCTGTGATTGCTCGTAAATGAAAGCTATAACCGAAAGGTCTGTTATTGTTGGTTGTGTAACTTTTACTTGATAAGAGGTCTGTCAAATTGAAATTAACTATTGTCGATCCTGCTTAATCACAGTTGCTTATGGTTCTATCTTCGCTAATTTTTTAACGAGAACAGAGAGAAAAATGATCTCAGCCTCAGTTCTTGTAGGCTTTAGACTTGCATTCAAGAAGAAAATATTGAATCTGACTACACTCCAAAATTGGAAACATAACTCAAATTCGATATGGGATTTTATCTTTTTTACCTTTGTACTGTCAAAGAAAAAATCATTAACCCTCTGATGCTCATCATTATGGTTGGCCTCTGAATCAGGGAAGACACTCATAGTGGCAAGAGTCATGGCCTGCAGATAAAGATTTTGAACAAACATTAGGACATAATAGAATGAAATGATTTTCTTTTAAAGTAATCTTATATTTCACCGTAAGTCAGTAATTTTGTGAAGTAATAACTTATTAATATGTATAAATTTTTTTTTTAATAGTAATATTAATATATTATATTAACTAGATAGTGTTTGTATATTAATTATAATATAATTTTTCGAGAATAACACTTGGATGTATAATGTTAAATGACTATAAAATTTAAAACAAATGATTGGGATTTTATTGTTTGGATTGATGGATTAACTACCATATACTAAAGTATTAAAAAGTCTAAAATGATGAGAATTTAAGTTACTTTCCACCTATAAGAAAGCTAATTTGCGTATACAATTGAAAGTAAATCTGTCACTCACGTGGCCTAGTGGGGATGGCTTTTGGCAGGATCAAGTGTTTGCTAGCTCAGCAATTTTGTGCCATTAAGGTCCACATATTCCTTAATTAGATCATATAATTATCTTAGACTCTGGCTTTACATCCTCACATGGCACATGGGATTCACTAACACCCTCTTCAACGATAAAGATTAAAATTAATTAATTAATTATTAATTGCTTGAGCTTTGTCCAAAGGTGGTAAGATTAGGACCTCCACATGCGTTTGGATAAAACAATAGAGAAAATTTAAACTAGTGAATTGAATCCTTACTGGGGTCAAGCTCTGTAATCATTGCAGCTCCTCTGAAGGAACAAGACCCTCCTCTGTGCTTGAATTTCTGGTAGTAGTTATTGAAGGCATAAGAGGCGTGGTCCCTGAGAGTGTTGGGAAAGAAACAAGGCTGGTTCAGCTGAATTTTGCTACAGTCTGCACCTCCTTTGCCACAAGCCCAGTCCAGAGCAGCTTGCAGCTCATCATCTAGCGTCTGCTCATCAGCAATGCACCATTGCTCAAACTGCCCATCTGGTATTCCCTCAAACCCGCGTTACAAAAATCAAATATAATACTAGAGAAACAGCCAAATGGCTATACATATAATGACATATATGTAAATGGCATTACCTGATTCATGAGGGATCCTGGAGAGGATAAGCAGCGCAAGCATTATCCTGAGCATGGCAGCTGACGTTTTTCAAAGAGGAAAGAGAGAAATCAGCTATCTATCTGAAAAAGTCTGATGGCCACATACAATGGAGGAGCGAGCTTTATACATACATACAAACATACATACATACATACATACATATATATATAGATAGTTGAAAAGAAGATAAAAACAGAAATCAGAATTAGAATATCATGGGCGTTCCCCATGATAAAATGGTAAACGCGTGGGAGGGTGTCACTAAAAACAGCCAATGGGTTGCATGTAACATCTTTATGCCATTACTCTATAAAGAGACTCTTTTGTTCTGTAAGTATGACCAACAAAGCTTCTCATTTAAGGATGAATCTCTTAAATGAAAATTCATTTGTAAAAATTTTAAAATTAATCTCGTAAAAAATTATATTCCAATTCCAGTCCCTTCTGCCATCACGCACTTTTATAAACTTAGCTTCTGGTGGCCACCTTAGCAACTTTTCCAATTATGCAAATGGCAAAACTACATAATTAACCCATCTAATTTTCTCCAGGCCTCAGCTTACTCCTGCCAAATTAGGGTTTCCGCAGCTAATTGGAAGCAGAAAACTTCCCTAGCATTTATTTGTGTACAAACTGTTATGATGGGAATGAAGGAAATAGTTTCCAAATTTCAACCCAAAAATGAATTTTACTCACAGTTCATTATGATAAAATCAGATCTCATGGCTCACTTTACAATGATTCAGAAAGGAAAAGATCAAAACAATGGAGACAACGGTTCCACACACAACCGTTGCCATGGGGCAGCATAACTTACATACAGACCCTCACTTTTGTTCTACTCTACATCAGAGCAATCAGATGATGAATGCATAATCTTTTCCCAGAAATGTCGAAGGGAAAGAGAATATAGTAGCTCCAAGTCAGGGAAAGCTTTTCTGTACAACCATTTTCAACACTCTTGTTTCATATTCTCTCTCTCCGATGGACTAACCTGAAGGTAAAGTGATTTGATGCTATAAAGAATCCATATTTGATGCCAATACAGTTCCTCTTAAGCTACTCCTGAGAAGATGAGGAGCTGAACCTTTCACTGATAGAGCTTAGAAACATGGATTACATGGTGTTAGAATCATTTTCTCGCCCATGGAAAAAAAAATCAAGGAACAAAAAGAATAGAGGACTATTAATTACAATCAAACAATGAGGTATATACAGAAAAAGCCACCATCTGCCTTAATTCTCTTGAGCAAGTGATTATATGGTGCCAAACGAACAACAACAGCATTTGGTTACTCTCCCCCGCCATTCATGCTTTACTTGGACATAGAAGTCATGTCACGAGCTTAACATTCCTGAAAAAAAAACTTCCTCAGTATGAAACCAAAAATCGAGAAATAATGAATACTGCAGATTTCGTCTTTCCCTTTTGGCATGTATAAAATTCCACTAAAATGCATCTTTTATCAGGCTTTATTATCACGTGTGGCTCTGAAGAAGGATGAAGACTTACCACATTCTAAGTGATGGCCACATGACGCAAACGAGGCATGAACTACTTCATTTGTCACCTTCTAGCAGTGCTACTTCTCACAAATGTGACAACTGAAGTGTTGAGGGTCAATCTGAACAATCCATAAGATCAACCGGTTGGCCAGATAATCTACAACCACATTGTCACTCACTTGCTCATTAACCTGACTCAAAAAATCGTGCCACAGCTGCATAAAGCTGCCCTTCTTCAAAAGGTTTCGACACATAATCATCCATTCCACATTTCATGCACTCCTCATTAGTAGCTTGAATCACATCTGCAGTCATAGCTAATATCGGAATGTGCCACTTAGCCACATTCCTGAACATATTAGCCGATGCTTCTCCAGATGCAATTTTCTCATTAACCTCTCTCTCCATAGCCCGAATTTGCCTAGTTGCTTCAAATCTGTATAATTACAGATAGATATTATCAAAATAGTGCAGTACGCTACCATTCTGCTAGTATATAAATAATTAGCTAAAGAGAATCCTTACTGCCTCATTTCTGAGCCAGAGTTCTAATCTTTCAAAACTAAGTACTCCATATCTATTAAAAATTTAATTTTGCACAAGAAATGGCGGGCATCTGCTTGATCCACCTTTTAGCCTAGTGAACTTGTGCTTAATGGAATATGTTAATGCATATATAATAAATTGGTCATTTCCTATTAGCTTAATTTTTTACGAAAATTGATTACTCAAGTATTTTGTATATTTAACATGAAAAAAATGTCTTGACAAATGCAAATAGCCTTGCAGTATGTCTTTTTTGAACTATATTGTCTAAAAGCTTTTGAGACATCAAAATGTCTTAAATGAAATTTTAATAATTGAATAGTAAAGACATGGTCTGGTCCCAAACTACAGGGCAGAAGAAAGAAAAATACTGTGCCAAAATATGTTGACTCTACTTAACTTGTGTGGATAGAATAATGATAGAAACAATTTATGTAGTATGTATAAAGCCAAATCAAACAGAATCAGGTTTAAAACATTTGTTGTCCACTAAGTCACCCCATTTTCATTAAATCATGAAAAAGAAGAAATTGAGATAATCCTCCCCACCACCAAGTATATGGAATGAAAAACACTATGGGATCTTTCACTATGCCCAGTAGTCAGCATACAAAGTAGGCTGAAGGGCTTGATTCAGAGAGCAGAAACTGTAGGGGCTGTAAAATGAACGAAATCTAGGTTTGCAGTTTCTTCCCAACTGGCTAACCTTTTCTTTTTGGGTCCATGTAGTTCAGGAACAGGCCTTTCAAAGACATCGATTTGCCACCAAGAGACAGAAAATTAAAAGACTTTACAAGAACTTTGTTCCTAATCCTTTTTATTGCCAAAGATATTTTGCTAGTTCTGCAGCTAAATGTAAATTATCAAGAGATTTTGAGTAAAGGCAGATGAAATTACCCATCCATTTCTGGCATCTGGAGATCCATAAAGCAGGCATCAAAGCTATGGGGTGGCTTAAGCATTTCTAGTGCAGCCCTGCCACTCTCTACGCAAGCAACAATTGCTCCGTATTTTTTAAGTACGCCTTCTGCAACTCTCCGGTTTACTAAATTGTCATCTACCACTAAAATTCGCCTTTCTCTCAGCAGACCCCCGAGATTTGTTTGTTTCTTTGGACTTACTTGCCTCTTCTTACCACTCCCAAGGGCTTCTTGAAAGCAGGCAATCAAGGCACTCAACCGAAGAGGTTTTGGCAGAATGTTATCTATGAAACCAGATGATTTGAGCTCATTGCATACCACAGAGGTTACAGAGGTATCCATGAGAAAAATCTTTGGAAAGCTCCCCGAGGTTTCTGGGCTTCCATTTTGTTTGTGTTCTTTGAGCAAACGATGAAATGCAATGCCATCTTCTTTATTCCACACATCTCCATCAATAAGAACCATGGCCAAATGTGCTAATACACTGTGGAAAGAACACCTTTAAGTATTAACAAAAAGAAAGCCAACAAAAAGTTCAGTCCAACAGCACATGCTTAGTTACTTCTATTCCACTGAATTGATGCAAGAATCACACAGATGAGATTTTACAGTAAAGAAACAACCTTAGATGTACAAACTCAAGCAAATGAAAAACATGAAAAAGCTCCAGCTCAACTAACTCTTGCTAAAAAGATTCCTAGAGAGAAAATGCTCAAGATAAGCACACTTTATTAAACAAAAAATTCAAACATGAACTAATCACAGAATGCTTATGCATTTTTTCGGACATGTAATTTTTATAGCAGGAAATACCTGCGGTAGGTCAAAACCAGACTCTCCAGCATGAGGTGAAGAGCCTTCGGCCACTGGACCAAGGTGGCTCACCCACTCTTTACGAAGCCCTTAAAAGTATATATTCCTCCCAAACAATATGCATGCATTCAAAATTTAATTTCATACAACACAACATGAAATAAGTTGCACCTTCTTTAATATGATTGCGTATCCTTCAAATTAAATATATAACAGTAGCAGGATTTTGTTAACATAAAGGATCAAAGTAAATAAAAAAGGTGTAAAATCTTTATATTTTCTTAAACTAATAGTTTAGTAAAGCATATCATATTAAAGACCAACAGTGCTTACAACCTCGGTAGCAGAACTGACAGTACCTTGTGCTGCAAGTACTGGATAGATGAGAGCATGCGGATGCCATACTAGAAGCTATTTTTACAGAAATTCCCAATCTGTGGAGATGATATCTTGTGACAGCAGCCCGAATACTTCTGTTATCAATAATCAAAGCCGTCAACCCACGGAAATCAGAAACTACTGGATCATATTCCAGCCCTTTGATATCTATAGAACTTAGATCTGCTTTTGTGAAAGCTCCAGTAAAAGAAAAGGTACTGCCAGCGCCACATTTACTCACAAACCCAATCTCCCCATCCATGAGTTCTACCAGCCGCTTGCTGATGCTCAATCCAATTCCAGTTCCACCATATGTTCGAGAAGTAGAACTGTCAGCCTGCATAAAAGGAGTGAAAATGCGATCTTGTGCATCTAGAGGAATACCAACCCCTGTATCCTCAACTGTCACAAGCAATTCAATTTTCTCAGAATCCTGTGTTTCTGGACCACTGGACATTTTAAAATTTTCCCAGCTTTTCCATCTATTTACCACAGGAAACCCACTTAGTGTATTTTGGTTTGAGGTGTCCTCAACTAAATTCAAGCCTTGCCGCAGCACTTGATCCCTAATGTTACATGGATCCCTGACTTCGTCTGCTAGATGGACTGATACAAATATATGCCCTTTGTCATGTGTGAACTGCAGTTTTAGAAAAATGAAAGAGAGGTTACTACTGTGAAGGCCCAGAAAAATTCAATGAACACATTGATGCCCTAAAAAATATTCCTATATACACTTCTTAAAGACCAAAAACAACCTTGCACACAGATTTTGTTAAATGATAGGTATTAAAATAATAAATCTCATACAGATGGAACTGGAAAAGAAACAAAAAAAAAAAGAACAAAGGAACAACCTTGATTGAATTTCCAACTAGGTTTGTAATTATCTGCCGAAACCGCCCAGGGTCACCAACAACAACTTCAGGAACTTGATCCGAAACATAAATGGCCAACTTTACTCGTCGAAAAGAACACAACAAGAAAATTTATGTTAGGATCTGTTTCCATAACAAAAAGAACAAAATAACAAACTTAAAATAAGAGCCTAGGAAAAATAGAAAATATCTTGGTATTATAAGAGCCGAGGAAAAATAGAAAATATCTTGGTATTGCACCTCAATTCCCTTTTCAAATGATTTTCTTGAGAAAAGTGATAAGACATTATCAAGAACAGCTCGTATGTCAAAAGGCACTCGTTCAAGTTCAAGCCTGCCTGATTCTATCTTTGCCTGGTCAAGAACCTCGTTTATTAGCGAGATAAGATCTTTTCCACTAGCATGAGCAGTCTTGGCACAGTCCATTTGGTTTGCATCAAGATCAGTGTCCATCAACAATTGCAACATGCCTAGAAGTGGGTATGAGGAACATTCTGTCAACTACTAGTTCATCAGAAATGCTGAAAAGCAAGTGCATAATTGAAAGATTTTCTGATTACCTAAAACACCATTCATTGGAGTCCTTATCTCGTGGGAAACTGTTGCTAAGAACTACAAAAGAGACAATTCTTAGTGACCAAAACATGACAGAATGTTTATTATTATAACACTAGAAAAAGATAAAGAGTAAATTTGTAACATCTCGAGCACAAGAGGCACTAACCCAATCTTTTGTTAATCCAAAAATCATTACCTCTCAAAAACTCAAGCTCAAGTAATTACTAGCTTCTAATATGAACCCTTATATGAAATTCAACAATCACATATTTATCAAATGTGGGATAAAGGTATCATAATTTCTACTTCTCAATACAATTTCTTCATGAATGACAAATACAATCACAAATCACAATCCAAAGAGTCACACAAAGTACAAGATTGCACCAGCTTAGAGTCACTAAACTAGTACATATTCTGATATCATTTTAATATCTAGGGCCACGAATTACTAGTTCGATAATTTTCGAACTCAAGTCATTAGCTTTTAGAAGTTCAAATTTAAATTATTGGTAGTACGTGACTTGAAAACTTAATAGAGTATAAAATCACATATTTGTGTGATTGAGGTATCACACAATCGCTAGGAAGAAACAAACTAGTCGAACTAAAAACATCTCAATGAGGAAGGAGATGATTTTGTTGCAGCAATGGAAATGATTTTAATGGCAAGGAAGCAAAGAACTATGCACCACTTCAATGAGAAAATGTACCTGAGACTTTGCCACATCTGCAGCTTCAGCACGAGCCTTGAGCTCCATCATCTTTTGACAGTCATCCTCCACTTCTGCAATGCGACTTATTGCTGCATGGAAGATATGACCAAGAAGCAAAGTAATAACCAAGACTCCTACTGAGGCATTGATTGCAGTCCAAGGTACAGATGGTTTGTGCTTGAACCTATATTTAAAGGCAATAATGTAGATTTGGTTAAAAACAATTTGACACCATATATGATCGTTAATATGGAGGATCCATTTGAGAACAGACCTGCAGTGCATCTCATGCTTCCTTAATGGATCCCCAAAATCAAGATTGCTAATGTGCAACAGACCAGTATCCTCAACCTCTGTACCATACATGCTAATGGGGACAGATGCATTAGTTGTATCATAGACATTCACAACAATCGTTTGCTTGCTGGCAAGTTGATGCAAAAGCTTCTCCACAAGCGATGGGACATCATAAGATGCCCCCAGGTAACTGTATATGGAAGTAAGCTCAAAACTGAAGTCAGTCTAATTTACAATGAAGATTGTTTCACAATATAAAACACATAAAAAATTCCTCTTTCTAAGAGTTGTCAATCTAATTATAAAATGAAGATTACTTCATAAGTGTAAAAACACATTAAAAAAAAAATTCCCTTTCTGTTTTAAGAGTTTCCAATATAACTTAATTTTGCCTTAAGCCCAAACTAGTTACAGTTACAGTTGAAGGCATGGACTCTTTTTGACAAAAAGAAAACAACCCCAATCCCCCAGTATCAGGTGCACAGCCTGGACCATGTCTAGGAAATAGAGAGCATTCTGAAGAAAGACAATACCCCACAGTAGCTTCAATACGCTGTTCTGGGGTTGCATCTGGGGGAAGGTCAGTGTTATAAACAGCAAATGTCAGCACAACACCCAAGTGATTGGATTTTAAAAGCTTAAAGGGAGATGTCAATACACCCTTCCCAGTTGCCCTTGCTCGCAAGATGTTTTCACGGTCTTCCTGCCAAACAGTAAAGACAGCAGAAATTCAACAATAGCCCAATATGCTTGACAAAGGAGATTTATTAGATCCACTCTGAAGTGTCATTAATTGTATGTTTTGAAAGGTAACTCAGCAGGTAGACATGTTTTGGCAATCACCATTACTCTGCAAGAGAATTAAAAACTAACGTAATCTGATTAGCCATTTGGACATGTATACTTTTCTTACTTATAGTTTAACACTGACAAGACCTGTCCAAACAGCATAAGACATATATGGCCGCTTGATAATGCCAAATAAATCACAGGCTCACATTATCTCTCATTCTTTGAAATCAGCTACTTTTTTTTTTTCAAGACAATAACCAGGTAGGTTAGATCTGTTAAACGGAAAAACCAGAACTGGTTATATAATAGAAAGTAGAAAATGATACTGAAACTTGGATTAGAAAAGTAGTTGAGAGGGAAAATATCATCAGCCTTACTTATAGTCCCGTTATCCATAATCTAACATTTTGTCTATCGATGGGATAAAATAAGAAGTTTACTCATTACTAACTGCTTAGGTTAAGTTTCATTTGTGAACAAAGGTGTATAAAATTAAAAATTGCAACTATATTCTTCAAGAAATCAGTAAAAGAAAACTAAACAAGAGAAACAAAAAGGCACCTTAAACCAAGTAACAAATACCTTTCCAGACATCATGTCAATAGAGACAATGTGAGAGACAGTTTCTTGGGAAAAGATGACTGGTGCATATTCATCTTGAACAGGTGCAGGATCTAAATTGTCTGGCATACAATCCTGGACAAGAGTCTGGTCCTCAGTTTCCATTTTCTTTATTGTAAATCCATGCTGCCTTTCAAATTGCTCTCTTTCTGAGTGAAGAACTTTCAGAGCATAAGCAACACCACTAGTAAGTGGTCTCTCAAAAGCTGTTCTTTCAGTATATTCACCAAATGTCTTCTGTTGAAAAATTAAGTACAAGGTCAAAACCATCCTCAGAGAAGAGTAAAGTGACATGAAATACAGTTAAAATTCGTTTCTCATAGTGTACTTACTACTGAAGCACCAATAAAGATTCCTATCAAGAAGCATCTGGCTAACAAAAGCAAGCAAACCAGAAAAAAATACCTGATCAATAGCAGATGGGTTTTTTCCATGGTGAAAGGTAGAAACAAGAATAGCCAAGGCATGAACATGGTTCATGCTCACATTGAACTGATCCTGCAACATCCGAGCCCGCTCATCACACATATTGGCCAATGTCTCTTCTCTTCTCAAAATAATTTTCTCATTTAGGTGCCAAAATAGCCAGACGGACCCAATAATTCCTAGCAAGATAAATATTCTTAGAAGCGTCCTCCTCCATTTTCCTGCACCTCGAGGAGGGCTCTGAGCTTGATTTTGCTGCTTCTGCTGCAGTAACAGCAGCTGCTGCTGAGCTACAGGCTGCAGCTGAGGAATCTTATGTTTTCTGTCTTTTTGAAACTTCAAGCACAAACCAGAAATCTTAAAGCTTGCTACCATTCCAATGAGGAGCCACCAACATCCTTTCACCAAGAAAGGACAAAAATTCTCACAGGGATCTTTTGAAAGATCAACTGATGTCCTTGTGTGTAAGATATCCTGACCAAAACCAAAACACCCTATCAACATATATTTCATAATATGGCTCATGAGTACGAGTTTTTTGCTTTTTCATGCTTGTTTTGTACTTTCGTGGTTGTTCTACACTTCAACAGAGAGTTGAAATTGAAGTCATACATAAGAAGGCATGAAGGCACAACAAAAATGGATGTTATTATGACTAAGTGCATTACAGATGCAGATGCTGACAATATACTTAACATGATCACGACTAAACTAGGATATTGAAATGAACCACGCAGCTATAAACAAGTTCTTACTTGGGGTTCACCAAGCCAGCATAATAAGGCTAAATGCATTGCAGACGCGGCAATATACTTAACATGTCCACAACTCAACTAGAATATTGAAATGAACTATGTAGTTATAAACAAGCTCTAATTTGGGGGGTTCACCAAGCCAGCATATTAAGGCTCTTGATAGCATGTACATTATGGAAAACAAGGGTACTGAAATAAAGCATACAATTCTAAACACTTCTTTGATTCCACCAAGGCTATAGAATAAGACTATATAGCAAGTAGAATATGGAATTCAAAAACAGAATCAAGATGATATGGACGGTAAGCAAATGCTTGCATTCACTGTACTATTATCTTCAAATACCAATATAGTTTCACACTGAAGCACATACAGATCCATCATGAAAAGATCCAAAATCTAGCAACATGGGATTGGTTTAATTTGAGCATATATGTGGTTGAAGAGCCTTATAATACTTAATTGGCCAGTTCTACAACAAAAAATAAGTCAAAGATTCTTCTTGCTTCTCAATCTAAAGGCCACATGTCCACAAGGAGCATTCGTCCCCTGCTCCCTATACACAAGCATGCTATATCCTCCCTAGTTGACCCAATTGTGCACATCCCAGGCATAACTTCTGACAACTTTAAACGTGAAACTTAAAAGCACAAAGATTTCATGTTTAACTATTCTAAGCAACACGATTTACCTTTTCATGATTCTCATACTTAAGTCGCATTGACGACAATGCAGATTGTGAACCAAATAATTCAGAATTGTCCTCTTGGATTGATTGGTCAAACTTACTGGAGATATTCTCATCTTGTACAGGAGATTGGTCATTAGGTTCTTGTACAGAACACTGGTCATTATGTTCTATTTTTTCATCAACCCAGGTATGCCGCTTTTCAAATTCCTGCATCTCTGAACAAAGCACCTTCAGAGCACAGGTAATGCCATCACCTGGTGGCATTTCAAGTCCAGGTTCCTTGTTACAGTTGAGAGATCTTATCTGTATATGCAGAACAGTGACACGATGTAAACAGTTCAAGTCATTCATTTTATGCCCATGAATTCCTTTCTCCTCGTGATATCATGAAGAAGAAAGTCTCAGAAAGTTGCACAAGACAATCTCTCACAGGGAAAGAAAGATAATCCAATATATAATACAAAAAAGTAGGCTTGCAAGAAGTAAAAACAACAAAACTACACTAATGTAATATTTACATGGGACAAGCGTCATTGACCCTCCTTCCTGGGCATTTAAGTGCACATTTTTTTTGCAGCCACCCGTACACATTTAACATTTTCTACTTGCATAGCTTTCAATTCCTTTGCCATAATGTCAAGTCTCATCCAGGAAAGTTTTATCAAGAAATAAAATAACAATTCTAATTCAGTAGCATCACTGATTAGAACTTCTTTTTAATTAGTTGTAATATTGATGAAATACATGTAGGAAAAGTAGAAAGTTCTGTAAAAGAAGATCAGCTATTGAAAGCACGATTAGCAATAACAATCATAAAGATCTTGCTAAGCTATGAAGCTTCATTAAGAATTGAGAAGAGTCGGTTATAATTTCCTCCTATATGGTACTATTTCTACTCAATTCAACCTTGTAAAAAATAAAAAGACACCAAATAAACAAAATGTTATTTGCAAAACGAATAGATACTACAAGAAGCTATAAAGCAGAAGCAGAAGGAGGCCAAAATTTATGGAAGACAAGTTCATATGTCACAAACATAGTACCTGATCTGATTCAGAGAACAAAGAAGCCAAAGCATGAAGTTGTTTTCTGCTGACATTGTAATGCTGGAGTAACGTTCTGGCTTGTTCTTCACAGCAATCTAGATTTTTCTCATTTCTGTCCCAAACATCACCACCAAAAATCAAGAGCGCCCAAATAGTGCCTATAGTAACAACACCTAGAATCCATAGAAGAAGAAGCTTTCTCTTCCATTTTCTGACACCATTAGGCCCATGCACGGATTCCTTGGCTCTCTTTACTTTGAAATTTGCAGGCAACCTGCCATTTGAGCCAGAGAAGTTGCAATTCAGAGACATGTGAACCAAAGCCCACCTGTGTATCCTCACAAAGAGTCGTGAGAATTTGAGGAAGAGCCCAGCTCCAGGTGAGCAACTCATCAAAATTACGCTCCCGAGAGAAGCGCAGAATGGCAATTTGCTGAAAGTGGAAATTCTCCACCACAGAGAAAATTCTTCAGCAAACCCACTTCATAAAACTCATCAAAGATCAACCTGCTTTGTCAGGAACCACCGAGAATACAAAAAGGGGAAACTGAAGTAGACCCAGTTTCACTTTCTATTCCATGTGCCGGGAAAACAAGGTGGTGGAGCTCTGTGATCTCTATCTCCTCTGATTTTCCACTTTCTGACTGAATCTCAAGATTCCTTCCGCTTTCCCCTTAGGAATGAAGAAATCCCATCACCGGTATAGCTGTTTTGAAGAAAAGAAGCGGCAGCTAGTTTAGTAATCATGCAAAACAAGAAGATAAGCCAAAACCAGCTGTTAAACTGTGAGGGAATCGTTGATGAGATAAGGAAAAGGATTGGGACTTTTTCTATATCCGGTTCTCTCTTACCTCCCTCAGGTCTGCATAGCCGAAAGAAGCATCAAGTATGGAACTTTTTCAAAGAAAAACCCATCAACAAGAAATTTTGGATTAGACCCAGTTGGTTTCCCTGATAACCCAACTGGAATCAATGATCAGACTGAGGATAAAAAGTTTAAAATAAATAAAAATAAATAAATAAAAGCTTGTCACTTCTTTTCCCTTTAACCCCTCTGTCTCTCTCTCTCTCTCTCTCTCTCTCTCTCTCTCTCTCTCACCCCCCCCTACGGTTTGGTGTCCAGCATTTGAAATTTGAGGTTCTTGGGTGCATGATTATCTCATCATCTGGGTGGGGAACGTTTAAGCAAAAGCAAACAAACCCAAGACCCAGAATCCACCTCCCTCCCCTAAAATCTACACAATATATGTAAATATAAAAAATGTGAGATGTGAATACCAATTTTTTTTTTTTTAAATTGTTTTTTAATACATTTAATTCTCTTTGGCTGATATTCACTTCTTTGGTCTCTTCTTTTGCTTTTTGAGGGGGAGAGAGAGAGAGAGAGAGAGAGAGAGAGAGCGTTGAAAGAGACGGCACCATTCAGCGTTTAAAGAAACGGCTCTGCTGCTGTGCTCATATACGGATTCAGACTGAAGTAACAGAGATATATAATAATTAATAAAGGTAAATTTGAGTTAAAACACGGTGGGTAAATTATATAGGATACTTAATATTTGAATGTAATTAGAAATCTGTAATTATTTAAAAATTATATTTTCTTTCTTATGTCAAATCATGATAAATTTTGTATCATAAATTATTAAATTAATCTTTAAAATTTAATTTTTAGTTTTTTTTTTTGTTATAATTTAGTTTTTTTCTATTTTTTAACATATAAAATTTAAAACGATTAAATTATATTTTGACACTTAATAAATTTAGCTAATTAATACTCTATCAATTTATTAATTAGTTAAGGTTATTTTTATATATTTAAATGCTATTTAATTATTTTAATGTTTTATTAAAAATAAAAAAATATATATATAATAGACATTAAATTTTGAGAAACTCCGTTTGCATGACACATTCTTTGAATTAATTTGAAATTTTTACTGTTATTTTTTTTTACTACGTAAACTAAAATTTTATATTTATTGCATTTTCAAGTAAATTTATTTTATTGTGTTATCATTTTTAAAAAAAAAACTAAACTCAAAATGATAGTATATTTATTATGCAATAAGTAAATTATTATTTTAAAAAAATAAAAAATAATAATAATAATAATTTGAATTATACCCAGGCAACTTCAACAATAATAAATTTAATTTTTCTATAATTCAACTTTAATACTTAAAAATAAATATTATCATATTATAATTAAAGCCGATAAAAAAAAAATAAATAGGAAAAAGAGAAAAGTAAGCCGCATTGACAAAGACTTTAAGTTGAGAAATAAATAATACCTGTATGTATTCTGTATAACAATAATGGTAATATATAATACTTACTTATTCAATTAAATAATAATAATGATAATGCAAAAACATAAACATAGAGGGAACATGGGACAAGGAGTGGTGGCTAACATGCGCAGGACGGTTAAGATTCCGTTAACGTACGCGTCATGTTTTGGAAGATTTTTGATGATGTTGGAAATAGGTGTCTGGCTGTATGTATACCTTTTCCCACCAACATTAAAAAATATATATATACATATACATATACATATATTGGAAAAAATGAAAAATAAATTAATAAATAAAAGATAAAATAATTAAAGCTTCATTAAACTAATTACCAATGTCAAAACCCATCATTAGTTTGGCACAATAATTAATTCTTTATTCTTATTCTCTTTTTTTTTTTTTTTTTTTTTTTTTTTTTAATGCTTTGAATTTCACAGTTGACAGAGATAACCCACGTGACCAAAACATTAAAATACATGTACTCTTCGTTGTAATCCTTTTTTAAAATTGATTTGCTTCTAATCTACATCTTAATTGTAAAATAATTATTGTATATTGGAGCTTTAATTATAATGCATGTTGGTTTTATATGTCAAAGCAAAATTTTTAAATACATTTTAGTCTCGGTAAGAATATAGCTATGCAAATGATGGAGAGAGTAGCATGATTAACAATAATCAAAGTTTAACTCGCATTAATCAAATTGGTTGGTTGAGAACCATAATAATCATGGTTTGTCTAACAAGCTGAAGTGGAATTATGGGCAATAACAAAACATTTTTGATAAAAAAAAAAAAAAATACAGCTAACCATCAGTAAAAAACATTCATTAGTGGACCATAGTCTTAATGTTAATGTTTTCAATTTTAATTTTAACTTTTTACTTTTTACATTAATTAAACTGATTTCACTTTTTTTGTATTTATATTTTACAAGTATCAATATATTAATACTATTTTACTTAATAATATTACAGTTTAAGGTTTTATTTCACATAATAAAAGTGAATATGTTATAAATAAAATTAAAATTTTAAATAAAAAATATTACAAGCTCGTGCTAATTCAATATTCAATCCAAGTTAAATATTTTAAATAATTAAGTGAAAAATATGAATTCGTAACAACATAAATAAAATTGACCAAATTGTTGATTAAATATATAAATCACTAATAATTTTTACATATCAAATAATTAAAATATATAAATTAAATAAGAATACATCATAAATCTAAATAGTTTTAAAACAACATTTGTGTATTATAATATATAATATTAATTTTTAGATAATATTTATATACAGACGAACATAAAAAGGTTCGCATTTAAGATAATAAATATTTATTTAAAAATCAAAATGTTATTAAAAAATAATTATAAAAATTAACAAATGTATATAAATAATAAATTAACAAATGTATATTGAAATAGCTTTAATTAGTACTTTAATTTTTCAATTATTTATGTCATGGTTTAAGACGTAAATTATAATTTTAACTTTTAGTTAAAATAAAATTAACCGCGATTATAATTTACTCAAGAATATTATAATTTATTTTTTAATTACATAATTTATAAAACTAGGTATAGCAAAAAAAAAAAAAAAGAAAGTTGTCTTCGTTACAACAAAATGTGATAAGCAGTAACAAACAAGTAATGATGAAGGGGTCAAGGGAAGTGCCATTTTATGCCACAATCAACTAGTGAAAAAGGAAAGAGACAGGATGATGGGTTGGCCCCCCAGATTTACCCTAGCAGAAGCAGAAACAGAAAAGCAAAAACAAAAATTGAGGTGTTTGGTTGTATTAGACTTCACTTAAAATTCTGGCCCTTGGATTAGATTTTATCATCTTGACCATCCAAGTTTCAAGGTCAAAGAAAGTTGAGCAAGTTAAGAGGAGAAGAAGAAGAAGAAGAAGTAGAAAATATTTGTCTTTTTCTTCATTCATAATAATTGAATTTTGTAGGGCCATCTTCCTTTGTTGTAACCCACTTTCATTTTTATCTCATTGGGTTTTTTTTTTTTTTTTATTAATCTTTTATTTAATTAGTTATTTGCTTTTTTTTTTTTTATTTCACTTTTTCTAATAATTTTTATAATGAGATGGGAGATAGTGAAATCCCCAAAAGTACACATAAGAAGTGACTCCTTGTATGGGCCATATCAAGGAACAAAGTTTTAGACCTAAATTATTACATTCTCAAGTTGGATAACCCAATGAAGATTTTCCTTTTCTTTACCATTACATATTTTAATTAATTTTGTTTTTAGACTAAAAAAAAAAAACCCCCCTCTTCAATTCATAAAGTTTCCACTCATATTATATACATACACACACATAAAGTTTCCACTCATATTCCATGCGATTTCAACATTCTTGAATTCCAATATCAACTTAGAAAAAAACATGGGGGTGAAATCCCAAATTCTCATTGTGGGTAAGGCCTCATCCCTTGATTAATACACTTGAAGTGAATTTAAATATAAAATTATCAAATGAAACACAGCCCATTAATTCATAGGGCACGTTGTAAACTCGAGACAAAATAGATGAAAAAATACGGTCTTTAGAATTGAAAAAGATTGCAGGAATATAAATGAAGGCCTAATTTTTTTGAAGGTAAAAAGTAAATTTGAATTCGTTTGGAATGAATAGAAATGGTTCCATGTTGCCTCCAAACTAGAGGTTGTTGGAAGACAGATGGCACGGTGAGAAGACACCTCATCTACTCTCCAATTATGAACATCATGTTTATAACAAAATATTCTAAAATTAGTTACTATTTTAATTTAATTACAATAAACTTTGGTGAAACAATTAATCGTAATAACTTTAAAACTCCGATATAAGATTTTATTTATAGAAAAAAAAAACACAAAACACACTAAAACATTTTAAATCATTAAATTAGGTGGTCATAAAAGCAGTCCTAAACTCTAATTTTATTACATAACATTTAATCTTAAATTGAGCATACATCTAATTTTATTTTAATTATGTGTGTAAAAGAAATTAAGTAGTTGACTTTTTTACCAAAATACAATTGGATATGTTTCGGAAGACTTTTTTTTCAAAAAAAAAAAAAAACATTTTTATAAATAATATTATCATTAAAAAATTAATACTTACGCTGCGGTAAGAACAGAACAAAAACAAATTTTATAACGTGGGGGAATGATGGGGAGTCGTGAAGTGGGTCCCAGCGACAGCTCGATCTGACAAATCACGTTCCTCTTCCGTCTCTCTCTAAGTATAACTAACGTAGGCTACTTATAGTGGGTCCCACCGGGACGGCAGCCGAGCCGCTAGCCGGATAGCCGGAACTCGACTCAAACTGTTGGTTTCGGAGCCGTCGGTTGTGATGAAAAATAAAATTACTGGCAAGTTATATAATATATATATAAAAAGAATAGTTTAATAAAATTACAAGTGTAAAATCAGACGGGTCCCACTTTGTTTGGGTGTGTTGTTGTCGTTTTCTGTGATGGGGCCCCGTCTTTACCTTCACTTCACAATTCACGAACCTCACATCACCACCAGTCAAAAAATAAATAAATTAATCTTCATATATTTTTAAAAATAAAAAGATGAAATTCGGGTTATTGACATGACCCCTAATTTTTTTCCATGTCCGGGTACATGTAAACAACAACCATCAAATCTAACTTTTTAACATATACATCTCGGCATGAAAAAATAAAAAATAGTCTTTTACATATCTACGCATTACATACATACATAGCGAGATGATAGAGGTACCCAATTGACCAATCTATATATATATATATATATATAGTTATAATACATGTTATGCGTAAACATATGTATTGTATATGTAGAATACCAAATAAATAGAGCCCTTGATGTAAAATTTTGTAAAATGATTCAAGTTTTTTTTGTAAAGGGGGAATGATGTGCGAGCTTCAATTTGACTTCCTTCCTTGTCTCTGTCCTCTCAAATCATTGGAGTCTTATTTAACCAATCAAATATTTTCCTCCTCCTATTGTTATTTATATATAATTTCATCAACATTATTGTGAGAAGAGAAAGAGTTATAGTGTGTGTGTGTTTTTTTTTTATGCTTTTTTCACGTATAGATGAATAATTTTTATACGTATATATATTTTATAGTTTATCATATATGTATATTCCTCGTTTATATTATTATTATTGGTCGTCTAAAAAATAAAAATCAAAACCCTATAATGCCCATAACTTTTCTGAGTAAGAATCTTCCCACTAAGCATTTCAGCTTGCAAAAAGGAAAAGCAAACAGTGAAAGCAATCATCATTCAACCCCATTTCCTTTGAATTACCGCCATTAATATCAACTTACATTACATTATTATATATTACATACAGATAATATATATATATATATATATATGAAATTGAAAGGAACTTCCCACATTAATTTGCTAATAAGTCGCGTTGATGGGTAATTTTTTTACTAAAGAATATTATTGAGCAATAAAAAGATTGGAGCACGTTGATTTTCTTGAATAAACTTTGTTTTAAAATGGAAGTTAATAAAGATAGCCAAGTTTCTTGCATGTACGTTTTTAATTATATATATATATATATATATTCAACACAAGAATATATTCTTCCTACTTAATATTAGTATTATATATACAACTTCATTTAATTAAAAATGACAGAACTTGTAGTTCATGGAATATATATATATATATATATATATATATACATATACGTATATATAGCCATCTTGTATAGTTTTAATATATGTATGCGAAAGAGAATACAATGGGGGGAGAGAGAGAGAGAGAGAGAGAGTGATGATAAACCGTAAAACGATGTCGTTCAATTAGAAATTAGTACATATTATGTGAAATTAAGTGATGATTAATTTTGAAAACCATGTGGTTCCGAGAAGAAAAAAAAAAACAAAATATGGAGGGGAAGACATAATTGGTAAGCATGTGATTTAAGATGATGGGGAAGAAGAAAATAGATTCATCTAGTGACTTAAATATATTTTAATTCACCACTTGCTCACTTAATGCATGATAATATATATATATTATATATAAATTTTGCTTAGACTTTATATTATATTATATTATATCATATATTAAATAAATAAAAAAAAAGAAAGATGTCATGAATAATTATTACCAACAGAATCTACTTTTTGGGAAGTAAACAAATATTATTTAAACAAAATCTTATTCAGGAATTTGAATAGGTAGAGGTAGGGGGAAGATCACCTCTCATCACTTTTTGATTGTAGAGCATATCATCTTCTTTCTGGGCTGTGGAAGCTGTTAGGGTTTTAGATGCTCAAGAAATTATGAACATTCTCTTCCCTACCTTGCATCTATTCCTTTATAATTAACCCAATTAATTACCACAAATCAAATATTAATTATTATAATATAATACCCCCCCCCCCCATATAGCATCATAGTATATTAATTAAGTTTGGTTTCAAAATTCAACTTATTATAATAATTTAACCTACCTAGATTATATATTCTTCACATTTACCAATAACCCTCTTCATTAATTTACATTATGATTGTATGTAATTGGTCAATCGCTCAATTCTTAAAACTCATGAGTTATTAAATTGTCATCGGAGTGAAATTTAAGAAAAACAAGTAAGCTATCACCATGAAGTCTCAAAACTTCATCCATATACATGTATATTGTATATCTGTAAATAAATAAATATGTATTATGTACATGCCCAAATTTGTTTACTACAAAACCATATATCATAACAATACAATTACAAGAGATTTAATGAGGTGGGCATGAATGATATGATCAATATCCACTTTTCACATTTGAAACAAAATAGACAAATCCAAAAAAGAGTACACTATTTATAATATATAAACATACCCACACATAAATTTAAGATCCAAGTATCGTTAGGTAGCAATTGGTCCAAATTTGTGTTCAAAGATTTGTGTGTCTCCAATTTATGTTGGGTATCTTGGTTCTTGCGAGCATGGCCAGACTTAATTGACTATCATACAATTCTGTACCAAACTCTTTTGATTTTTCTTCTAAATTTTGTTTCAAACACAAAATACTCGATTGTCTACGACTTTGTCGTAAAGCTATGTTGAAGGTTAGACGAGCAAGAGGACAAACAGAGAGAGAGAGAGAGAGAGACACACACACACGTATGCTTTTTTCTATTATTTCTACATATATAAAAACTTCCTAAAATTGCTAGGGGTTTGCCATCTTTGTTGTTTGATTTAATTAATAGAATCTTCACTTGACAAAGGATAGTCTGTAATTATATAATAGTTTTATATTGCGTACGAAGCAAGGTTTGTCCTTCTATAAGTTGTTCTTCTTAGGTAGGAAAAGAAAGTACTTGCTTTTTTATCTTTCTTAACTTCTTGTTTATTGTCATTTTAAATTGCACTCAATACTATTATTATTAAATTATTCATAATAATTACGATGGTAATTTTAATAATAATAATAAGTCAGGTTCTTGTTCCAAGACTTGATAATTTCTGGAAACAAATATACGTACGTACGTACGTGTGTGTGTATATATATAGTGAAAAATTTTGTTTTATATTTTAGTAGTTGTTCCATTTCTTTATGTACTTTCATAAAATTCAACTAGGAGAAGAACGTGAAAATATAATTTAATTAGGTTATGGAATAAGATTAGGTTAATCGAGGACAATAATATATTAAATTAATCAAATCAATAACATAATAATACCAGCTGTTGTTGGTAAACTCGTTTCAAAGTCTAAATCAATGTCAACTTTAACATAATAAGAACTAATTACAGGATGATCAGTTGTCATTAATTAATTTAATTAGATTAGTTGAGTTGATGTGGTGTTAGTCATTGTTAAGATGTAAATAGATGCTGCCAAATTCACGTGGAATTAATATCTTGTTGTGGGGGCATAATTTTATTTTTTCCGATTTTTATAATTTAAAATAAAAACAAAAATTAAAAAAAAAAATGGACAAGAAATAGCAGTTGGTACCTAATAGAGAAGGTGACAATTCAAGCTAGGCCCAGACGATGCAAAACATGTATAGCTGTTCACCTACTACCCTCCCTTTTTTTTTTTAAAAAAAATTAAAAATAAAACACATAATATCCTTTTTTTTCATCTCTGACGCTGACAACGCTGACGATGTATTTGATTGCATTATCATATGCGTATGAGTACTTAATTATGTTCTAGTAAAGATTGATTAGTGAATTAATTATTAATATACCTTTTAACTGGATGTGGCGTACTAAATGGTATGGTGTTTAATCGATTTATATTTATAAAATTTTCTTAATCTCCTAAAATATCTAATAATTTTTGAATAACTAAATAATGGGTCGAATTATATGCAGACGAAAAGTAGGAATCTTCATGTGGGTTTATCATCAAATAAGGGTCCATGAAAAGGATTTTATATTTATCTTCAGTATTTGCGATCATGATTTTGGTGTTCCTTATCCTGTTCTGCTTAAAATTCAACAACACAATCATCAAAAGGATAATATTTGGTACAATATGCACGCACACCTGGTTGAAAACATAGAACCCATGGAGATTTTATGTAATCATATCATTATGCAATCATTTCAATTCCCCCAACTCACTAAAAGCCTGTGCTGGGTTTCCATCTTCTTCCCTTCCCCCTCCCAAGATCTCTGATCCTGAACCGGCAGAAGAGAAAATTCGCCAAGCAATGCGCATCACAATTTCCCAAGTTATAGTGGCCAACTGCTGATACACTAAACACTACAAAACTAGTGGACTAATATCGTCTTAGCAAAAGATCTGGGTTGCTCAACCGACGGCAGAATCCTAATAATGTTTTCTCCTTAACATGCTTCTTTCTGCAGTAAAAATATTTCTAGACTTTTTGTGCACTAAATTTCTTCTCTCTTTCAAGCAATTTTAGGGACCAACCGTCTCTCATATCATATAATGCATATTCTAATTACCTCCGGATACTGAGCCAATCCTTAGTATCAAATAATTAGAGATGCATCAGATCTACGGGTGAATCCTTACCATTGTTTTTCTAACACCGTGCTCACACGTTAAACTACAATGTGCGTACTCACTATTGTAAAACTGCACAGCTGGGAGACCATTTACTACATATTCATGCTGCATACAAAGCCAGAAAATAGATAACAAACATATGGCAACTGCATCTAAACAAATGCCATGAGTACCATATAAGTTGAGAAATTACATAAGGCAACCACTTTAGAGCCTAAATCACTGCAAATAAACAGTGAAAGAAAAAAAGAAAGAAAGAAACTTCTATAAACATCCTATTCAAGATAATTCATACATAAAATGGAATCAGGTATTCATCTTGTTCAACTGCGAACCTACTAACATTCTAGACCACATAGTTAGCCTAAATACACAGAGCATATTACCAAGATAGTCTCAGGAATTAGTTCTAAATGGGTGGTGGTGCTCCGTTGGCTGAGCATCAGTTTTTGGTGGAACATTGTATCCTTGTAACAGATCATGGAGTTTGGAATACATTAGTACCTGTGAAGGGTCACCCCCGCCACTGCTCTGCGATGCACGCGAACTCTCTTGTAGCTTAAGCTTCTCAAATAGATACTGCTTTTCAGCCTCGGCCTCACTCAACCTAAGTTTTAGGTAACTACTAGCATACTCTTCCTCTGATTTATCAGACTTGGCAAGAGCAATCCTCTGGAGCCTTTCAGCCTCTCTTTTCGCCTCATTTGCCTTGAGCTGGAACATATCAGCTTCTGCCTGCTTTAGTCTCACAATTTTCTCCAGCTCATCTATCTGTAGCTTCTTTTTCTGCCTTTCTAGTTTTAATTCTGCCACTTCCTTTGCCTTGTCCTCAAGCTCCCTGTCACAAGCCTCAAGTGCCATGCGAGCTTTCTTAAACATCCTCATCTTTTCATCTGCCACCATTTCCATCTTCTTTAAAGCCTCCTGCACAACTTCAGCGATCCGGTTGCATGCCTCCTGGGGTGCTATTAGCCTTCCACCTTCTCCGTTTTCGAGGCTCTTTGGGGAGTCACCATCAAGCTCTTCATAAAGAAAACACGCGAATCAGAACTCAGAAATAACTGATTACATGCCAAGAAAAGAACCTTCTTAACCTCAAAAGAATTTAAGAAAAAAAATGAAAAAGGCAGAATAGTTCCGTTTATGTGTGATTCCCAAAACAAATCTGACATCATCGCTAGTTCAGTATATAGAATACACTATATGGAGCCTGGAGACCCAATAAGACCAGGACAACTTGCAGAAAAGTTGTATCCTCTGATTTTAGGGCCTGGGAATAAAGTTTTCACAGAACTGATCCCGTAAGTGGGAGAGTAATCTAACTCATCAAGAAAAGCAAAATCAAGAGTCTAGAGTTTAAATACAATATGTCACGCACTATACAAACAGAAACATGAATTTCACTGTTTAATCCCAAACCGGTGCAGCATTCTTTTGGAGATTCTGTATTAGCAAGAATGAAACTGACAAAAGGTAAGGTATTCACAAGCAAATGTTCAACATTTTTAGCAGTTAATTCCAAGGAAATCTTTGTGCAATTATTCGCAGAGCTTTAAACCCCATGTTATTCAATACATGGAAAAATAGTATTGAGATTCAACAAACAAAATACTTTGTGGATGTATATCTTGCAATTACTAACATAATTGCTAAGTGAAACCCAATTTCCAAACAACAGGGAAGATAATATGGTTGGATATTGTGTACCTTGAAAGAACATTAATATCATTTTGGAAGCTGTGGACTCTGTCAGTCCACTTTTAATCTTTTCAATAAGGTCTTCACACTTCCAGAAAAGTCTCCTCCCTCTCTGGTCTTCACTTCCCCGGAAAATCCTACTAACAAAATCGAGTTCCTTCATCAGGGACTCCCGGTCCCAGTTTGGTGCACAATGTTGGAATACATCTTTAACCCAGCCTAATAGCTCAGATGTCCGATTGCAAGCTCTGCACCTGAAAAGCATTTCAGCTGGCCCTGATCCACTCTTAACAGAAGGTCCCATGCAAATTTGTCCATCACGTATAGCACAATCAGTATGAGTCCAGTGAGAACACAAATCACAACCAATCCAACGGCAGGTGTTGACTGCAAAGTCAAACTTGTTACATATGACACACATACAAAGATTGCAGAAACCGTTTCTGTTTGTGCATATTTCACAGTTACATTCATCGGCTGGTAGTTGATTTTGGCATGCTATGTTCCTGCATCTCTTGTACACAAAGATCTCAATAAGGGAAGTCTGGGAGAGACTGATGTTTGGATGCAAAAATGCCTGAATGCCAGTGTTTATTGCGACAAGGATTTCAAGCTGTGCTCTATGGGCTCTGATTAAAGACTTGGCAGTCAAATCAGATCTACTCTGAACAAATTTCTGCAAAACCATAAACTCTTCTATGTGCTGGGAACCACCATTGCCCTCAAGGATAACTCTAAGTCCATTCTTTAGCTCTTCGAGAAAATCATCAGGTAGTCGATGCATCTTTTCAGAGATTATATCAACTCTTTCTCTAGCTATGTCCCTAAGAGATATCTTATCTGCGCTAGAAACGCGGTGAATGACTGACTGTTCATGGCAATCATTCTCTGCTTTCCCATTCTCCATCTTCTTTGCTGTTGCAACATCAGCAGTTGGCCATGTTTCCCTTGAGCTGGCGCTTTCAGTAGGAGACTCACGAATATTATCAGAGTTTGATCTAGGTTCCTGGCCATCAGGTGACAGGTGATGGTCTGAAGAAACAAGGGAGAGAGAAGTTTGCAGACCTCCAGATCGTGGTTGCTGACGTGGAGGCAGCATTTTTGATGAATTCTGGTGGTGGATGTTAGAGCCAGATGATGTACCCATCAAGAATCTTACTCAGGTTGCAACCCTGTAAAATTAACACTCATGACTACATCCATTAAGAACAAAATATTCAAGTTTTTAATTTTCTCTAAGAAAGAAAAATAAGCATGACTTTAAAAGCAAATTTTGTCAAGAAACATGTAGCAAAACCAATCAATGTTCCCATTATGCTAAACTAAACAAAAGAAGGCATATTAGAGCTGTAAGAAGTAGGCATAACATAAAAAGAATTAGGCTATAAGGTGAATTACACTTTCCAGCTCTATTATTTCTTTACATAGAAAGATTGTAGCAGCACTTGTCTATATGAGAAATTTTCTTGATTAAATCTTGTACCATTGGTTCACATTTAGCTCACAACCAGATTGCCCAATGGTGAAAAAGAACTTAACAAAGAAAGATCTTCTCACGCAAAATATTCCTTTCTACTTAAGAAAAAGTGCGAAGGTAATGACCATTTCACACAGCAATTGAATAATAAACTAGATCAGCATCAGCTAACTAAAAGCAAACTATAAATTAAATTTCGAGTTCCAATTACATCCAACATATTAGAAACTAAAAAATGGAATCCAAAGCCAGTACAAACAGCAGATCAAGAAGCAACAAAGAAACAACAGCGATCAGTTAAAGAACAAACTTTCATGTCCGCTTAGTCCGCGAGAAAGGGCAGGAAAATAAAATCCAATAATTGAATCTCAAAATCTCCAACGATCACGACCCGAGAACAAAATACCAAGTCAACGAAGCCCATAAACAAAGCTATCTAGTTTGACCGCAGTCACCGATCAACTAATACTGCAAACAGGAAAAACAAACAACAGAGTCCAAAATTCTCACCATGTTCCCCCATTTTCTCTCCAACCAGACGAGCGAAAAAACAAAAAGGAACCACAGAGATCACGAGTTCACATACACGAACAAGATAGAGAATTCTTACCAGAGAGAGAGGAAACCAGGAAGACTTCAGCTGGAAGCTGATTGATCGAACGATCGGGAGTAGAGACGTAAAGAGGGGAGAGAGAAGGAGAGGAAAGAACGAAAGAGGCGGATGGGGAATGATAAATGTTAATATAAGAAATATAAAAGAGACGTTGTGACCATTTTGCCCCTGAGGGCGGAGAGAGAGAAGAGACAGAGGATGGATGGTTTTGTTTTACAGGAAAAACCCTTGCGGAGTCCACGCATGGGGTCGTGAGTGGAGAATTAAGAATCTATTAACAAAATCGCGGCCTGTTTCAAAGCTGAGATGACCGGCATAGCCGGTTGTCTCCCAATTGTTTGACTTCTGAATGGAGAATTTGTTTGTTTGTTTGTTTTTTTTAATTACCTTTTTTAGTTTTTGTCCATGCCGAGTTGCTGTAACTGTTAATGTTATCTCTTCTTTACTCGTTGAACAAATAGTACGACCTTGGTCAGACATAAATTCATGTCAATATATTTTTAATAATATTTTTTTAATTTATTTATACAAAACAATTTATGATTATATCTTATATGTATTAATATTTACTTATGATATATTTTGTAATAATTATAATTAATCATTTTTTTAATTTACTCGACTCCTATTTATATAATATAACATATATTAGAAGTTATCTTTTTAATTTTTTTATTTAGTATTTTATTTATTTTTGATCAAATATATATGAATTAAGAATCCTGCACCGATGTATACGGATGCTGGAGCTAAATACAGAGAAGAGATTGAAGTGCCAGCGGGTAAAATTAATTCATTTTATTGATTTCCGGACTGAAATTAATGTCTGTATTCTGTTAATTTCCTTAAAACATTCAATTATTAATGCGGCGGATGTGCTGATATGATGTGTGTATGTGTATGTACAAAACATTATAACCCCCTTTACATATCTTTTTCTGAAAATCACTTGAAAATTATTCAAGTATCCGATATGAAAAAGATTTCTAAATCAATTCCGGAAGTTCATATGTTTTGATAGTCTCCTGAACTAAAATCGCTCCATTAGTGATTGCTGATTTTTATTTTAACGATAATACTTGAAAAAACAAAACTGATTCATTTATTAAACAACCTCTAATATATGTATACAAAATATAAAGTCCTGAAGATTAGATATTACTGACTGCAATGCACTCCGCACTCAAAATTTCTTTCCAATCATTCATGGACTACGGCCCTCCTAACATCTCTGGCGACTAATTTATGCCTATCACACATGAAGCCACTCATTTCTGACTGCCGGCTTCTACTGGTTCGACTACTTCAGCTTCTACAGTCTCCATGTGTTGTTGGGCTGCTGGCTGCTGGATTTCAGGAGTCGACCATTTGCCTGCAAGAGCCATGCCCATCATCTCATAGATCTTCCCACCAAGTTGTGCTGGATTCTCGGGCTGCAAGAATACAAGTATGCTAAGAGGACCACCACTGTATATAAACATCATATATATGCATGTAATAGAAAGGAGAAAATAAGGAAACACTAATCAATAGGGATAATGCTAATGATTCAAACATGAGTAACAACCAATGGCTACTTTTTTCTTTTTACAAGAAAGAAGAAAAAAAAATCCATGGCTACTTTTAGTTGTCGGTCTCCTTCCTACTTCAAAGGTCCAAGTTTAATTATGAAATTTGATAACTCTTTAAGAATTTTCACTATTCTCTACCGAGGGAGGCAGATAACGTGATGGCCACTTAGACTCCTTCAGTATGGTAAAATCACCTGAGAACAGAGGGTTAAACAATGAAGATGACCACATCTTATTATATAGTCACATATTAAAATGACTCAATTTCAAATGACGATCTGAAGACAAAAGATAAATTTCGAGGAGGTTCTTGTGTTTCAGACATAAATAGAAGTATAAAACTGGATCCATTATGGTTCCTCATTGGCAAACACTTGTGCTAATTTACTCCAATTCATAATGGACGTTAAAAGGCTAAGTAGATATGTGCTGAATACTCACAGTATAGCCACTAGAAACTAAAGCTGTATCATACAGAAGATCAATAGCCCTCACAGCATCTTTATCATCTGGGCTGTTCCTGCATGCAGCCTGCAGTCAGAAGAGAAATTTCATTAAATTGCCTTGAGCATCAAATGATAATAAATAGAGCAGTCCTTGTTTATTCAATCTGTACATTCAAATCCTTAATAATTTGGTGCTCAGGATTGATCTCAAGAACCCTTCTTCCTCTCATGAACTCAAGGCTAGATGTATCACCAACTGTTTGTGACTTCATTAGCCTGCAATAAACAAATTTTTCACATAAGCCAGGCAGAAGAATGAGAAAGCTCTTTACCAATAAAATGTGCAGATGAAGCTTGTGTTTCTTTCGGCAAGATAAGTGATAGGTCAGATACATCTGCTAACCCCACCACTTGATTTTGATGGGAAGACATACAGATTAAGCAATCATGGTTAGGAAGTGAAAGAGTGCACTTTACCTCTCCATATTGGCAGACCAACCGAACTTTCCGGACACCAGAACACAGGGTGATGAGCTCAGACGATTTGAGATCTGAACGCTGGCTACTTTGTCACCCAAATGCTTTTTAATCCAATCACATGTTTTCCCAAACTCTTGCTTCATCATTTTCTCTTTTTCCTCGTTTTTATCACCTGCGGTCACCAGATCATAAACATTACACTATTTTGCTAACAACCAAATATCAACAAGAAAAGATGAATTCATCATCTGAAAAAATGTTTGACACTCCACTCAAGAAGGTGATAACCCATGCTATTATTTCATATCAGCTAAACGTTGATACTTCAATATTTCAAGGAAACCACTAACTGATTAACTTGACAATTGTTCCCTAAAAAAATTATAGATGCATGAAGCACAGAGGCTTGAATGAGAAAACTAATATCACCGAACAGGGTTTACAAATTACTGAATGTTTTTTAAGGTTCAAATAAACAAACCTAAGTCCAAATCTTCCTTGCTAATGTCGACGAAGTTCTTCTCCTTGTAAGATTTCAAATTCTGGATCGCAACCTCATCAATGGGATCGACCAGATAAAGGACCTAAAACAAAGAAACATAGCAATAATAAAAGCTGTCCACAAAATAACACACCAAAATCACGATTCATTTGAGTTTTCTTGGGGAAAAGAAAAAACACATACTTCTAGATCTTTTTCAAGGAGTCTCTCCAGGAAAGGGGTGTCCCTCGCGCTGGTAACACTATCAGCAGCAATGTAATAGATATCCTTCTGGTCAGGTTTCATGTTCTCAACATACTCATCCAAGCTTATCATCTCTTCCTCGCTTTGGGAGGAGAAAAATCGAAGCAATGGTGCAATACGCTTATGATTTTCACGATCTTCAATGCATCCCAGTTTCAAATATTTGCCATAGTTCTCCCAGAATTTCTCATAATCCTATAACATGTAAAAACTGAGTTAACAAAACAAGAAGAACCTAATAAAATCTCAGTTCTATTTATGCATAGCACCAGATACGAACACACTAATCCATGTAAAACTTGGTTTTCCAGGCAGATGTTTGACACTTGAGTAATTAAGAACGCAAGGTGACTTACTTCTTTGTTCTCACTTAGGGATATCCCGAGAATCATGTCAAAAGCCTTTCGAACCAAACGTTTCCTCATAATACGGACCTTCAAAAACATCATGAAAGGAATTTGCAATTATATTCATCAACGGAATTCAGGTATTATAAAGAGGAGTTCCTAATAAAACAAAAGTTGGTTCCACATACAATGCGGCTTTCCTGAAGAATCTCCCGAGAAACATTGAGTGGAAGATCATTCGAGTCCACAACACCTTTTACGAAGCTTAGATATCGAGGAAACTGTATGTAATAACCGCGGCCAAACCCAAGGAAAAAAATTGTAAGTTTACACGGATAAGGTATCCGGGCGAAAGAAAGGAAGAAATCTAACTCACCAGTTCCCCGTCAAATCATCTGAATAAAGACTCTTTTCACATAAAGCCTGATATTTTTTGTCTTTGGATTGATCATGTCATCTTTTCCCATAGGAGTAATAGCTGGCACATAAAGTACAGACCTAAACTCCACCTCACCCTGCAAAATCATCCACCAAAAAAGCCAAATAAAAACAGCCACCATTATCTACAAACAGGTAAATATTGGGATTCCCCATGTAGAACCCTAAAGTTGAATGTTGTATTTAAAAATAGATATTCATCAAAGCTTGCACAGAAACAAGTATAGCCCGTGCTTTTTACTAATTGCATGGTGAGAAAAGGTATAGAATCTGTCATACCTCTGTTGTGAAGTGCGAAGATGCCAGCGGATCCAAATATTCGTTGAAGGTTTTCTTGTAAAATTCATTATACTCCTCTGTTGTCACATCTTTGGGGCTGCGAAGCTGCAAACAAGATAATCATGTAATAGTTCTTCACACGAACCTTTTTCTATGTAAAATAAATACTAAAAAATACAAGAACCCTCAAACTCACCCAAATTGGCTGGGTCTCGTTAGTGAGTTCCCAGTCCCAGTATCTCTCAACAACAGTCTTCGTTTTCTTCTTCTTCTGTAACAACTCAATAAAACAATCAAATACAATTATTTTATCTACACTTAAATTTCCACACAATTTATAAATAAGACATGCTTAATGTCTGATTCAGAATAAAAAAAAAGTAGGGGTCACCTCAGTTTTCTCCTCTCCACTGTCCTTTTTGGCTTCAGCTGGATCCTCCTCAACCTCAACCTGTAATGTATGCAAAGATTATACTGGGTAATGTGAAAGCAATTTACAAAGTTGCTTCCAATCCACTATTTAACTGGCTCTAGCAGCCATACCTCTTTAGTATATCCCTTTTCTTGCCAAGTGTAAATTGGGAAGGAAACAAACTGTGAATAATTTTTCACCAGCTTCTGAATCCGCTCTGGATGTGCAAAGCCTTTGTCATCATGCTGAAAGTAGGTGGAGAACATTTTTTTTAGAAAAAGAAGAAATCGACGAGCTTTGAAATTGTAAGACAGACATTAAGATATTGGAGGATCATTATCTCCCAAACCTTAAGATACAAGGTAAGGCATGTTCCTCTAGGAATGAGCTTCTCTGGGTCTGTTTCCTCCCGAATGGTGTAAGAGCTAGCATTAGCCTCCCCTTCCCATACATATTGTTTATCAGATTTTGGGCTTTTTGTAGACACAACAACCTACAGAATCAAGATGAAATAACAAAATACCTTCAGCAACTTCCAAAATCAAAGTCTAAAAAAATGAATATTAAGACACTGTTTCTAAGTATTACCTTATCAGAAACAAGGAATGCTGAATAAAAGCCCACACCAAATTGACCAATTAAATTACTGTCAGCACCTGCATCCTGCTTCCTGTGAGTATACTTGCTAGTTCATCATCTGAATGTGAATAAAATCCATAACAAAAATACAGCTTGAAGAAATTTTTTACCTTTATTGCCTTCAAAAACTTAGCAGTTCCACTCTGTGCAATAGTTCCAAGACAGTCAACCAGCTCTTGCCGAGTCATTCCAATGCCAGTATCGCTGAAAAAAGCAAAGAGAGTAAGCTACCAAAGTTGGACACTTTGAGGCCAAGAGTTTAAATTTATTGTACTTACGTGATATTTACAATCCCATTATCTTTATCAACTTGAATACGAATATCAAGATCAACAGCATCCTTCAAAAGTGCAGGATCTGTAACACTCACAAACCGTAGTTTGTCCAAGGCATCACTTGCATTACTGTGGATCAGATTTATAAGTTTGAACAAGTAAGACAAAAAAGAGAGTCGCAAAAAGTCATCTCTGTTACAATAGCAGACGTCCGATTATGAAAATTATTTTGTTATATCACAAATTTTTATACATCAAATGGTTTCCACATTTTAAATATACATTAATGTTTCCAATAACTGCAAATCCAAAAATTTAACTAATCTCTATCATACATAACCATGAGAAAATGGTCAATATCTAGGTTTCTTTGTGTAAACAAACATTCATTACACCTCTTAGCATGACAAATTAATTTTTTGTTAGCATTCTGTGGAGATATAATGAGCATCACAGAACAAGGAGAACCATTCAAGTCTCCAAGTGACTGCCAATTAAAACTAAAATTAAAATTAGAAATTCTCTAGGTGGTAAAACTGAGTAACAGCTATATCATACTGAGTGGGTACCACATCAAGTTAAGCAAGTTTTGATAACAAGAATTAACAAGAGAAAAAGGTAGGATTTTTTTAATTTTGAAACTTATCGATTACTTCCATGACACAAATCTAATGAGCATCAATTATCTAACAGAATTTTACTTCTTTATGTTTGCATATCTAGCCATAATTCATGTGTAAGATCAGAACATGCCTGATAAGCTCCCGAAGAAACACCTCCTTGTTGCTGTACAGGCTGTTAACAATAAGGTCCATGAGGCGACTAACCTGCCGATAAAACATAGAAAATTACCAGAAAGTCATCAAGAATTCAAATATAACTCCTCAGACCCGCGGCACAGTCAACATACCTCTGCTTGATACTCATATTTCTCAGCTGGTGGTGGAGGTGGAGCGGCTGCATCAGATGCAGCCACAGTTGACTCATGCCGCTTACCTAAAAACAAGCTACACTGCAAATTCATTTGACTTGCAGAAGTAGCTACATTATCCCTTCCATTTCTTAAGACTGAAAACCATCTACGCTTGGTATCATTCTCTACACTCTGCTTGTAAAAAAAAATGCATATAAGCCATTTTGAAGAGAGTAACAAAAACAATAAAGAGTAGAATACTTTTCAAACAATAGCATTAATAAATTTTTGGACAGAATGATCACGGTAAATGCTTAAATGGAACCGTCATATAAATTTTTTCTGGCAAAATCACAAATCAGCTGAAGTGCTTTTGTAATGTTAACGATCACAATGTAGTTTAAGACAAATAATCAAAATTCCGCTATGATTGTATCGAAATGCAAAACGGATAGTAGATAAAACAAGAAAATAATTAGAAAATGAACAAGTAAACGGATTGAAGATACTTTCTCATCATCTCCATTTCTCGCAGCGGCAAAGAAATAACAACAGAAAACTAACAAATATATCGGGTATCGAGTAGTAGGAAATGATAAGTAATTCATACTAAGATGATTAAAGTAAAGAGAAAAGCGGGAGTACCGAATCGGTGAAGGGAGCAGAAGAGGATATCGGCGCAGCGACTTTGCGATAGCGTGCGCTACCGTTGCGCAAGATAGTGGAAACAGAGCGCCCGGAGAGTCTGTGCATGGTTGAGAAGTTTCTAGATCCAGCGGCAAGGAAAAAACCAAGGCGTGAGTTGGTGTAAAACTGTTAGTGGATGCAGAGGGAGTTATAAGGTCTTGAGGAGGGAGGAGAGGAGTTTAGTAGGGTTTCTGGCGAGTGGTTTTGGGAAGCTTCTGGAGACCAGGAACTTCTAATATTTCTGCAGAAATGAAAAGGTTTGGATTTCGGACAGTTCTGGGCTGCTTTGAGAAGATTATTTGTTTTTCTTCTCTTTTTTTTTTTGTTTTTTTTTTTGTTTTTGGTTTAAACAAAGGGCGTGTGTGTATTCTGGGCCAATCCTAACTGGAATCAGACAGACTCGCTCTAATTAAAATACAACATAAAAAATAATTATAGTTTAGTGATAAATTATGCGAGTTTAAAGTTTATTAAAAATGTAAAATTAGTAATTTTTTAAATATATTATATACGGATAAGTATCTACTTTTATAACAAATTTAATAAAATTATAAATATTTTATGATTATTAATTTCATTTAGCCGAAATAATTTATTAAAACGATCTAGTTTATAACTTAAAAAAAAAAAATACAAAATTAATTCTTAAAGTCGAATTTGGTATTTTTACATGGAATGCCCTTAAATAAGTTTTTATAAAATATTTTACTATTTTTAAGATTCATATATATCTTTTAGCTTTTTGTTTAAAAAATAAAAATAGACATGTAAAAAATTTCTAACTTTTTTTACCAACAGGACCTAAAATAGTATTTTAAAAAAAACAAAAATTATTAGAGATTGGTTTTTCTTTTAGAGATTTTATATATTTTTTTCGTTATACAATACAATTTCAGAAATAAATAAATATAAATTTTTAAATCAATTACACCGACAAAATTCATTCATTCAACACATTAAAGTACTAAACCACTAGGAAAAAAAAAAAGTACTTAATTCCTACAACCTTAAAAGACAAGAAAAATAAAAAAGTATTAAAAATTAAAATAGGGAGTGGTCGGGCCTAGCGATGAAATGGGCCTCTAAGCCCAAAAACAAACAAAGCCCGATTCTTGTTGTAAAAAACCACAGGATCTTTTTTTACTGGATTTAATTTAAGTTTCTTCCTTTTTATTTTATTATTATTATTTTTTAACAAATTAGGCTTAAAGTTGAATTGAAGTTTTAATTTTGACTTTTGAATAGTTTTTTTTTTTTTCTTTTCTCTCTTTTAAAACAAAACTAGGGCTGGCAAAAAAGTGCAGGTAAATGGTGTTGTAATTAATTATCAGAGGCACGAATAATATGTATATATAAATAAAACTAAACTGTTTTTGACAAGTAAATGATAATGTGAAAAATGCAAATATGCAAAACAAAGGCTAACCCTTCAAGCTAATTTGTTAGAATATTGTTGGATCCACATCCATGGATTATATGTTTACTGATGGCCTAAGCTAATAATTGGTATCATGCATGTATTTAAAATAATTTTTTTTTTTAAAAAATATCTTTTATAATACAAAACAACATTGCACATGCTTCTTAAACACATAACACCTGTATCTACTCCTCTTCACATGAATATATATAAAAATACTAAAATTTATAATTTTTTTTTTCAAAAATATCAATCATATTATATATG